TTCTCATGTCAGGGATAATTTTGTTGCGTCGGAAGCTGTTTTTATGTTTTAGAAGCTCCCACGAGGTGTCTTAAACGGCCAGTAAAAGTGCTGGGCCTTTGACCCAGTTGGCCCAGTTTGGAACAACCATGGCCTCAAAAGCGACCTCGAACAACGACTTTGCCTTCGTCACTGGTGGGTGTCGAATTCCGTCTAAGACAGCTACGAATTGAGGCATAAGAAATTACGTGAGTTAATTTGTTATAGATTATAAAAATGCTAGCTTATGGTAGTTATAGCATCATGAATGAATTACAAGATCTGGCATCACTTCAAATCAAAATTAACGCCTCAATCACCTCCCATATAAATAAATATATATATATATATATATATATATATATATATATATATATATATATATATATATACATATAAAGAGAGAGAGAGAGAGAGAGAGAGATATATATATATATATATATATATATATATATATATATATATATAATGGGGTCAAACTGATTATCCTTCGGGAGAATGCGACGTTATACGCACCTTCTTCGGCTAAAAAACAAGTGTGTTCTATAAAGACGCGTTGTATACGACGCCTTTCTTGATACCTTTAGACTTATGTGCACCATGACCATACGCCAATTTCAGTTTATTTTAGCACGTTCAATAACGCCGAAACTTGCATCACAGTGCAGAATAAATAGTGCCAGTTACCCGACGTTGATGGTATGTGAGTATTCTTGACCGGAGCCGTGCTGGCCGCGCCGTACTCGCGCGCTGTGTGTGCCTCTCGCCGGAGCCGTGCTGGCCGCGCCGTCCTCGCGCGCTCTGTGTGCCTCTCACCGCTGGCAGGAGTATCGATCAGCGCAACCACCGGGACTGCCGGTGACAGGATGCGTTTGCTGCACACAGACCCTCTCATCATGGCCTGATACAGGTCTGATATGATGTCCCAGATACTCGTGGAGCCGGCGACGTCCCTATATTAGATCCCGAGGTAGCCACTACGGATATACGCGGGTATGGGGTGACCCACGTCCGGGTCTGTCGGTGGGCGCGCCCCGTCCGATGTTGGTGGCAATAGTGTAGTAAGGTACCAGAATTACGACGGCACTGCTGCGGTTGAAACGTTAGATGGCGTATAAGAATTGAGTGAAAAGAAGGAAAAAAGGGGCGAGAGAGCTCCACAAAATTTAGACCGCATAATTGTGACGTAAGTGTGAGAGAAGGATGTACCAGATAGAGCGATTGTCTGGCGACTTGAACTCGTCGCGAGCAGAACAGTCTGCCGAGATGAAATGCGTCGTCTCCATTACCGAAACAGCAGATCGCTTACGCGTCGTTTCTCTTCGGGCCTCGGGAGACGGGGATCACCATCGTTGCCCGGTCGAGCGTCCTCCGTGCAATGCCGCGGGCTTACTGTCAGGCATCAGGGGTCGAGTCCGGGCCGGGCAGATGCACCTCCGAGCCGACAGGTCGCCGCTAATGATGCCCCGTCCGACACCGAGCCGGTCCGTGATTAATGTGTCGGCGAGCGCCGCCGGGCCAGCTGTCGGCCAAACGTGTCCCGGCTTACCGCTGTCGGCACGAAACCGCCGCAAAAACCGGCCGCGCAAAAACGCAAAGCGCCTTTAAATTTGTAATTGCTCCTGGGCGTACTCGGCATGCCGCGCATCGGCGGCAGCGGTGGGCGGAGCGGGGTGGTAAGGTGCCGGGCGGGGGCGGGCTGATTTATACGCCGGGGGCTGACAGCCGGCGCTCGGAGGACCTTTGTGACGGCGGGCGTCCCGCGGCTCGGCGGCGGGCATGGGCCGCCGGCCGGCCGGCCCCCCGCCGCACAATTACCGGGCTGGCCGGCACGACATTGCCGGCGTCGACAGCGCTGTAAATACGCCAGTCAGGGGCCTTTGTACGCCGGCGGTGGCAAGGCAGGCCTGCCCGGCTGGCTGGACACTGGGTATGCATGCGCTGGATGGACACTGGGCATACGTGCCTGGCTGGACTCTGGACATGCAGACGCTGGCTGGACACCGGGCATGTATGTGCTGGCTGGGCACTGGATGTGTCTGTGCTGGCTGGACACCGGGTATGCATGTGCTGGCTGGGCACTGGGCGTTTATGTGTTGGCTGGGCACTGGGTGTGTCTGTGCTGGCTGGGCACTGGGTGTGCGCTGTGCACTCTGTACGCGTAGTGTCCATCCCCGTTGAAAGGGACGGTTTCACATCTGAAGGTATTGAAGCACGCATCAGATATGAAGAAACAAGCTCACTTACAACTATTGGTACAGTTCTTAAGTGGAAAAGGCTGCTCTAGACAGCACAATGCTCCGTTTAGCAAATATGGTCCTCAATGCCGCATGGTTTGATTACGCCATCGTACCTTGCACAACATTGATTGAGAGCCACTTGACGACTGGTATATCTGGAAATCGTGCTCACGAACGCCAGATGGGAATGCCTCAACACCTACATTTTTCTAGGTCTTGTCTTCCGCATGGCTTGTAGAATGACGGGACTTGTATGACATTATTAGGATGTTATGAGTGTCAAGATGACTTTGAATTACTCCTCTCGATAAAACTTTCCCCATTTTCGCAGGCGTGCAGCTCAGAAACTAGGGGGGGGGGGGGTTGGGTCTTAAGAGGGGCAGGAATGCAAGCAGCACCAAAAGGTCTTCAAGATGGCTACTTCAGTTCAAAGCCCGATATAAAATTGGAACACTCCCTTTAACTGAGAACCGTCTACCAATGGGTCGCAGGCTGCGAATGCCTTTGTACTTCGAACGTTTCAGGCATTTAAATAGCAAAGCAAGCACACGTTAATAGCGCACATTATGCAAGTTGTTAAACATGCGATAACATACGATACCGAGGATGTTAGACCGTGTTTCTATGACAATGCCGGCATGTTTCAGGACCTAAGCTGATAGTACATGGTAGTATCCATTTGCGGTTAAGTGATCAATAGTTCACGCCTGTTTTGTCGGCGTCGCTACAAATCGTGCCTTGAGCCCGGTAGTGGGGACCTTAAGCCCATGTCGACAGGGGCTCAGCCAGCGCCCGAGTTATGGCCCAATCCATTCCCCTAACGACGGTGATCATATCAAATCAAATCAGCCGCTGCAGACACAGCTTTCTTCTTCGCGGCGGGGCCCCTCATCCTGATTCGCCGGCTGCGCGGCGCCCTCTGAATAAAATCACCAACACGAGCCTGCTTCCCCGCGCCCGTCGCGGGTCGACGGCTTTATTGAAAGCAAATTGCGAGCGTGAAACCCCCGCCGACGAGTCCGTTTGAAAGACTTCATGCAGTGCGGCGCTATTGTGGGGATATTTATGGCCACGGGCTGTGCTGCGGTCGGCGGAGCGAGGCCTCGTCTCGCCTCCCGCGGGCTGCCGGCTGGCGTTGCTCTGCTGTGGGGCCCAAGGCGTCCTCCCAGAACGTCCGATGATGTTAAATGGAGAGTGGCACGGCCGGCGCGGTGGTGACCAGAGAGCATGGTCTTCACTGACGCGCAGCGCTCCACTCGGACCTTGCGTCTGTCTTTTCATGGCCACGGATGTTGCAGGCTTGCAGAAATAATTGTATTCCTTTATCGCGTCCCTATCGCCTCCCATTCGAGCCCATTCACACCAATCGCCAAGCAGACTGCTGATCATCAATTTGCAGTTAGAATCAATCCCAACATCCCTCGGCCATCATTCCAGGTGGGAACGCCGCCGCCCGCATCACAAGCGCCCAGCGCCATGGGTCAGCCGGCCCATAACAGCGTCGTTGTCGCGGCGATCGCACGCTCCCCCGCCGGCCGAGGTCCATTTGGCAGCGGCTCGGGACCGCTTTCCCGATGACGGCGCCGTTCCATCCGCTCAAAGATCGGCCGCCGGCGCCGTCGACGCCGCTCAGCTCCGCCGACAGCGTCGTTGTGCCGCGGCCGAGACGGCGGCGCGCGCCGGCGGCGGCGCGGTGCTCAGACAATCTAATTTCTGGCGCGTCCCCGGCGATATTAATGCAAAGACCCAGGAACTTCAAACTTGATTAAAAGCTGCGGTCGGATCGTGGGGAACCATCAAGGTCCGACGAATATGGCGCGGCGTGATGATATTCTGAAGGGCATCAGGGATATCCCGGCCGCGGGCAGCAATCCGTAAAATGGGCACGCGCAGCTGGGAAGTGGCTGGCTCGTTTATTGAGCTCCAGACCTGCTCAAGTCATGCAAGTGAATTACCGTTCGGAACATGAAACTGACAGAGACGAACTGCCCGGTTCATGCCAGCATCAATCAACAAGAATGTTTACATTCGGTGCGCAACAGAAATATGAATATCGCAAAGCTTCACTTTCAATGTCTGGCACCCATGTTGCGCTTGATTCGTTCGTCCCCGGTGACACCCGACTCAGTACGCTACCACGCCAACGCTTTCAATTCAAAACTTGACTGTGGACCGGTGCTTGCCAGACACATCATTCCGAATGTATCGCCGTTGATTCAACGACACGCCCGGTCATTGTTGCAGTATTGTTCGCCAGAGCACGACCGGCACCAGGTCTGCAATCCTTGCTTTATCGCATGGATATGTTTATTAATAATCACAGTTCAGCATATAAAATGACACAGGCACTAAAAGCAACTTCATCCGACTCACCAAACGGCTGTGGTACACGTAGAAACAATATCAAACTGTACAAAGAACAGCAGTGGTGGTGCACGTCCTTCCTCCAGTTCGCCCAGCTCGCTACCGTCCGCCATATAAAAACGCCACTCGTAAGCCCGCTGGGACCATGCCCTGTCACCGTCGGCCCCGTCGAGCCAGCACTCCCCGGTCGCACGCGCCGGCGGCACGTGCTTGGGGGGGGGGGAGAGGACGCCGGCTGACAGGCGGCCCCGCGAGCCCGGGTCACGACCCCCGACCCCGGCGGCCGCTAAGGCGTTGGCCGCAGGCGCCGCGGCGCGCCGCCAAAGCCCGGAGAAACACACAGAGCGTTGAAACGGGATATCGACATCGCGTATAGAGCGCAGCGGGACTTCGTCCCGGCGCCGGGTACACACACGCACACGCGAGAGACGCACGACGTGCACCATCCGCGTCCCCACTGCCGCGGGGTCGGTCAGGCACGTGCGGAGATCGCCCCGCCGCTGCACGCGCCAGGGCCTTGACTAGGAGCCCCGGGGCTGGCTCGGCACCGGCGCCACGCGCCGCCCCTCGACTGGAGCAGCGGGGCTCCCCGTTGCCCGCCGCTATATCACAGACAGAACCGTCCCCGGCCGGTCAGCTCGGCTCCTGGTGAGCGTCGCACGGTTAGGAACACGCGCCGGCCGCGCCGCCGCGCTATGAAGTCCGTGGCCGGGGCAGCGGCGGCGTCTCACGAACCCGACTCGTTGCGGTAGCCGAGGTTCTTCCTCTGCAGGAAGAGGTGAATCTCGCGGAAGTTGGGCCGGTCGAGCGGGTCACGCCGCCAGCACTCCAGCAGCAGGTCGTAGATCTCACGCGGACAATCGTGTGGCTGCGGCAGGTACACCTGGAACGGAGGAGACGGCTGCTAGAGCTGCGGTCCAGCTCGCACGGCTGCTTGCATTGCCGTGGGAGATGCTTGACGGTCCGCCGCACCCCGCCGTCGTATCGCGTAATGGGGCTGTCGGCCGCCGCACCGCCACCTGGGCCCAAGGCGACGCTCTGGAATTCATCGACTTCGACGCTTTGATATGCTAAAAGCCTACACGGCCACGCAATGCAGCTTTCCATTTGAGTTGGCTATTGTCACGGCACCGGACTATCTAAGCAGGCAGCAGTCGTAAATGGGTAGGAACCGCGCTTTATGGCCGATTAGGCCAACACGTCGCGTCGTCATTCCTCCCCTGTCGCCAGGGCAAACACGGCGCGCCTTTGCTGCCAGCGACGACGCGGTGCGCCAATAGGACACGCTTTCTCTGGAGCGCCGACCGGACCGGAGGGCAATCACGCCCGCCCCGCCTCTTTCCGCCCGACCGCCGCCTCTCCGCTGCGACGGTCGGGGCGCCGCGTCCGAAGAGAAGAACGCCCGCACTCCTGAGGGGTTCTGCAGGGCGCCACGTACCCGCCGGTCACGCTAGATGAGTTCGCAGGGCCGCAGTGAGGCCCATCTGGCCTCCTGTCTGACAGGCGCGAGACATGGCAGCGGCCACCGCACCACTGGATGTACGCTGCCAGGCGGAGGTGTAGCGTTGCATGAAGAGATGGTGCAAGAACACGGGATCCTATCGTGGTGCACTTGAGTGCATTGCAACGCTGTGTTCTCTACGGGTAAATATCTATGCATACTTGAATGTGAGGCCCTTTGCTCCGACAGCAGACACCTTTGTCCCAACACGCGTCCCAGCAGCGGTCGCCGTCGTTCCACCAACGGTCTCCGCCGTCCCAGCAGTGGTTCCCGTCGTCCCACCAGCGGACTCCGTCGTCCCAGAAGCGGTCCCCGTCGTCCCACCAGCGGTCCCCGTCGTCCCAGAAGCGGCCCTCCTCGCCACAGCAGCGGTCCCCGTCGTCCCAGTCGTTCCAGCAGCGGTGGCCGTCGTCCCACCAACGGTCTCCGTCGTCTCAGCAGCAGTCCCCGTTGTCCCGCCAGCGGTCTCCGTTGTCCCAGAAGCGGTCTCCGTCGTCCAACCAGCGGTCTCCGCCGTCCCACCAGCGGTCCCCGTCGCCCCACCAGCGGTCCCCGTCGCCCCACCAACAGTCTCCACCGTCCCACCAGCGGTCCCCGTCGCCACAGCGGCGGTCCCGTCGTTGCCGACGCAGGTCGATGGCGCGGCGATCGGTTGGCGCCGGCGGCCGGTCCCGGGGGACACTCCCCGCCACGGCAGGGCGGCTATTCTGCGAGCGCTGAGCCACGGGGGATCGCCAATATCAGTCCACCAAACACAACCCATATTGGGTCCCCGCGCTCCAGGCTGACAGCCCTGTCGACCCGCGGCCGACTGGGGCGTGCTGGAGTGGCTCGTGCAGCCTTGTCATCGCACACATCATCTTCGACGCTCCCTGCCGCACATACTCGGCGCACTGCTGCCGACGCCGCCGCCGCCCGTCGCTCGGCGTGCGAGACCGTCGAGGCGGCAGGCGATGACCACGTCCAGCCGGGAGACGCGCCCGCCGTGCGGAAAGCGATCCGGAGGCAGCGCAGCCTGGGCGCGGCAGCCGCCTGCGCCGCGGTCTAATGACACGGCCGCTGATGGCTGCCGACCGATGCACGTAACTGATCGCGGCGCGCGATGGAAATGATTGCAGGCGCACAAGGCAGCGATAGCCGGGCCGGCGATTAATCGATATCGCCATTACGAGCGCGGGGCGACAGCTGCTCAGAGGCAGAGGCGCTCGTCGCAGTGCGGCTTCCAAGGTAATGGTGCCACCAGTGCAGTGGCACGGCATGGTGGGACGTATTGAAAGGAATGACATGCCTTGGGTGGTTGCAATGCGCCCTGTTATGACTTCTGGATCCAGTGGGGAGAAGGGTGTTCTCGTGCTCAAAGTAAGTTTTACGAGGCTATCCGGGGGAAGCGTCACGTCTAAAGTTCAGTGGGATGTGTGCCTCGATCGATCACATGGCTCCCTCCCAAACAGTGTTGCTGGGCGCGCCTCTGGCTGTCGGCGCGCGGGTTCATCAGCTATGTCCCAAGCAGCGTGGCTGGGCGCGCCTCTGGCTGCCGGTGCGTGGCTATGTCAGTTATGTCAAGCACGTTGACTTGAGACAGACGCGGCCCATTCATTAGTGATTATGTGACCATAAACTGCGCAATGCGCATTCTGCGCGGTTTACGATTGGTAAGGACGGGAGCGCGCCCTAAACATAAGTTATAAGGCATCCATCTGACGGCTCTCGCAAACTACACCTAATTAGTTACGTCTTCCGTGGGCGATGTTTATCGATGGCTCTCGTTCGCAGCATCAGTCCTTCTCCCTCTTCCCCAAGGGTTAACAGCGCCGGCGTCTTTATCCTATTGCAGCGACAGTCCCCGCCCAGCCGTCGTGCTAATGCAATCCTCCATCAATGCCCGCCGTATACAAATATCATTACCCAAGCTCCCCTCGTCGTTAGCGACCTGTCCAACTCCCCGAGGCGTTGCTGCCAAATCAGATGGGGTCCCTGACAGTGGACCGAGTCGGGGCGCACGCGCTCACCGCCGCCAGGAATTTACATAATTGTGTTTTATGTGGGCGCGCGGGCCGGGCCGGTGAGAGAAGCCGCGTCTCTGGGGACGGGGAGAGGTGCCGGCGGCCATCTGCCCCTCCTGGCCGGGGCCGGACGTCCGTCGGCGCCCGGCGCATCACCCGGGCGCGGCGCCGCCACGCTCCGTCGCCATACCTTCAGCGACGCGCGCGCGCGCGGCGGAGGATCGGCGGCGCGCGAGGAACAGGACCAGGACGCGGCGACAGGGCGCAGGCCACCACGGGCGACGGACACGCCGGTGGAGCCCCGCCGGCGGGCCGGCGGGCACCGGGGCGCCAGCGCCAGCTGCTGCCGCCGCAGGGACGCGTGGCACGGACGCCAGCGCCGCCGCATCGCCATGGCAGGAGCTGGGCCGACACGGACTGGAGGTGGACATCACCCGTCGCGTGTCGGGGCCTCAGGCGTTACCGGTTGTAGGCCGCGTGCGCCGAAGTAGCCCGTTGGCTGAGGACACGATGGGAGGCGGAGTCGTTCCGGCCAGGAGTAACACAACGCGGAACTTCGTAAAATGCGGTTAGCGTCAGATAAATTCCCTTGCCATTGGGGTCGGGCTTGTTTGGCCGGGCGACGCTGCAATGTGACGTGTCGGGAGGCCGCTGTGCTTTACGGCATTTTGACGGTTCCGCGGCGCTGCCGCCGCGTCGCTGTAAAACAGCGCTATCGGCGGGCCGCCGGGTGCTTCAGGCCGCGATGGTTTGGTTTGGCACGCTGGGCGGTGAAACACATGACCGCTACGCCCCAGATCGGGCGCTGCGCGCATCTGATTGGACTCGCGTTCGGAACAGCGCTGGATCAGCGCGCCGCCGGCTGGCCAAGTCGGAAGTGCTGCAGCGATGACAAAAAAGAGCTTTTGCCGAGGAGAAAGGCTTTTGGCCGCTCTAACGTTTATATTTACAATTTTCAGTGTCGAAAGGGAACAGTATCACAATGTTTTTATACCGAAACAGTGCGTTGATGCACGTGCTTACGCGAGGCGCGCTTATGACCTTGACGCGTCATCCAAGCAGATCTCGCATATGTAAGCTGCCTGTCGCCGTGATAGAGCTGGGCCAGCGTCTCAGTGGCTCACCTGCTGCGCGTCGTTGTGATAGAGCTGGGCCAGCGTCTCGATGACGCGCTCATCGGTCATCTCTTCGTAAGGCTGCTGGCGCGCGTAGGTCAGCACCTCCCACAGCGTCACCGCAAACGACCAAACGTCCGACTTGGTGGTGAATTTACCCTGCGGATACACACATTAACAGAGCTGGTATGCAGGGTGACGTCAGACTGTGCACGACCACACCGTGCGGATACAGAAGTTGATGATGGACACTAAGTCACATTATGAATGCGTTCTCAAATCAGCGATAAGATAATTTCAGCACAGTCGTGAATCTGTCGGACTCCATTCAGGATATTTTCACTCACATAAGTTAGGAGCGAGAACAACAATCGTTGCAAATGCAAAGCGGGCACGACATTGCACTTAGCCGTCAGTAAGCCCCTGGGATATGTGTGTAGGCATAAGATGGGTCTTCGAAACTACATGCGAATCCCATTAAAGCACCATCTGGCAAATAACGGCGCATAGCTTCCTTTCAGCGAAAATTTCAGGCCAAATATGGATTAGACGTACAGACAAATTGTCAGAAATATCGGTGGTATATGCGGTGCTTCCTGTAGCGGGGTGTGTTGTGTTGCGCAGACCCCTTTTTCACGCTTGCTTGCGTGGCGTTGATATCAGAGTCTTCCCTGAGCTTGGTGTGTGGAAGCTGACATCACTGGTTCAGTGATCTGGACTACCGAATGGTTTTGGTCCATCCTATTAATCAGCTTGTTCCGGGAATTCTACCGTGCCATACATTGCACGGCCGCTTGATGGTGACGTTCCCCTGCCTATGGGGAGAAGTGCGACGCCGAAGTGCAACTCAGGACATCCGGTTGTTGCCCGCCCGCACCCCGCGCCTGACACTCGTTCAGTGACAAAGCTGGTGCCCCACCCATTAACATCGCAGCTTCTTCGTAGGCCAAGTCTGTTTTAATAGCGATTGACAAGAAACGTAAAATCAATTATTGCACTCAGCAATTTGCAAAACATTTTACTACAGCCATGAGCGTAGCACGCCTGAAATGCTAATGAGGTCAATCCATGTTTCGGTGTCATTTGATGAGGTCCAAACACAGGAGTGTCCGATCTGCCCAAGAGTTACTGGGATCCGAACCCAATCAGCCCCAGTGGCGGTTACTCCTCGGGCTTCAGCTAAACGTCATCCATGAAATATGTTGAAACAAAGGTTGTTTGAGCAGCTGTCCTCCGACAGCTTGACCAGCAGCAGCTCCTCGTGTCCAGGTCCCTTCGAGACAATAGCCTGTCCCACAGACTAAGTCCATGCCAGCGAACTTCTACCAGCATCGCGGCTCTAAAGCAGCTTAACCAAGCACAACAGCGATATGGACCACGAAATCCGGTCCAACTACAGCCAGCGCTGTCGAACCGCCGCTAAATTGTGACGCGAACTTATCCGCCGGTCGTCGGAGCCTGGCGCCGCCCCCCCCCCCCCTCCCCCTTTTCTCCCCGTACTGAGCGGCACGTTGACGCTATAAATACGGGCTGAACGAGCGTCGAATGACGGCCACGTGAACCGAAGCCCAAGCAGTTTACGCGGCCGCAATTTGTAATCGATGAAGTCGTTGACCTGCGGCCGGCGGACGAAAAAAGCAGGCCCGCCGCCGCCGCCCCGGGCGATTTCACAGGACAGATGCTGAGTGGTGCCGGCGTCAGCTGAGATATGGCCACAATGTCGCCGCACAGCGCCGGTAATGGAATGGTCGACGAAAATGGCGCACCGATTCCGGAAAAAGGGTACGCCAGGTCCGGAAATGGTGCGCCGCCGTCGCAGGCCATTTAAAAACTACACCGTCGGCGAGGGTGGTGGTGTGATAACGGATTGGAGCACGCAGGCTAGCAAGACCCATAGTTATGCTAGAAATAACGTATGTAACCTGTACAAATGACTTACTTTATACACAATGAACGTGTCTGGTGGAAACCAGTGTCATCATGTCATGCCAATGAAATGTTATCGCCAATATCTTTGCAACGCCCACCGACGAGCGATGTGTTGTGCCTTTCAACAAGGGTTAGAGAGGGAACGCACCAGAAAGATGGCCTCCCAGGCCATCCAGCGAATTGGCAGCAGTGTCCTGCCCTCGATCTTGTAGTAGTCGTTGGCGTACACGCCTCTGCTCATGCCGAAGTCGGATATCTTCACCATGTGCCCGCGACCGACCAGACAGTTTCTGCAACGCCCCAAGCGAGGTTATGAACGAGGCGTCACAATCGCGCACAGGCCACCCGCCTGGACAGATACCGCCAACGCCACGACCTGAAATAACAATCTCGCAGTTATCCGAGGACCCGGGGAAGACACACACAATGGGCTAGGCCGGGCCGATGCGAGGAGCCCGGCGGCATATACGACGAGGCGCGGACAATGCGCGGAGCAGACCCGCCGCCAGCTGAGCGCCCCCGTCTCCCTTTGTGGCGCACGTCGACAGGCTCGCGCCCCATTCTCGGCCAAGTCCATCGAGAGCTCTTCAGCGCTGCATTGTCCGTCGTCGGGCCTTCTTCCCAATCGCTGGGGTATCACTGAACTGCCGGCGCCCACAGAGCGTGAAGAATGCACCCGCCGCCAACAAAGGTGTCCCGAACGGCCGCCGTCATCGCCGCTGACATATGAGGCCGCGACAAAGCGGCGTTCGATGAGCGTTTGGCTCTGAGGCGCCACGACGGCAGCCGAAAGGGCGGCGTTTTTAGCGCGACGCGTTTGCGATCGAGATGAGTGTGTGGGGGACGGGGACGGTGGCGGTTAGGCGCTGCCGGGAGGGGGAAGGGGACGGTCAGGCAGCGAACGACGGCCTCGTGTTGCCTGTCGCGACGAGCGCTGCTGTCTGAGCGGCGGGCGGTAAATGCGGACGTGTTTCCTTTGGATCGCACACTTGTAACGCCAAGCGACGAGGTGACTTCGCTCTGCCGGGCTTCCATGCCTAGCTGGCTTAATCAGCTTCCGGACCTGGAATTCAGTTGCAACTGCCGAGCAGCAGGCTCGAAGAATAGTGCCTTTTTACTTCAGCGTTTGGTTGTAAATCCCACGCCCAAAGTAATGAGACGTCCGAGGCACAGGGGACGTGAATCTTCAGCGGGGTGAGGAACAACACCATTATCGCGGTCGTAAGCGTCATACCAGGAATCTTTACGGTCCACATCGCCAAGATCGCCCACCCCTTTCAGACCGTTCTCCGTATCGGAGGTGATTGCTTCTGAAACGCAGTAATACGATTCTGCAGTTACATATGATTTCCATTAGGACGTTTCCTCCTTAGAACGAGACTGATTATTGGCAATTTCCTGCAGGCGCCGAAATGGTTCCAGCAGTTGCAGTGACGTTGGTCTGAGGGATGCGATTGTAGCCGCAGAAATAAGCACCGGCGGGGAAGAAAAGACTCTCGAGGGGAAGGCTTTGCGCCCGGCCCAACCCAGCGACCAACCAAGCATTCGCAGAGATCCAGTCAAACTATTGCTAAAGATGTCAAAGACCCGAATAAATGGCTCATAGCACACTTCAATCAATAACTACAGAAGTTCTGCTCGCCGGCCGGCCAACAAAACTCGGCACAGACCACGCTGCCCCCTCCCCTCTCCCAGTACCCTACCATCTCAAGCCCCCTGCGTCTGCTGAACGATGCCGTCATGGTGGAAGAGAGCCATCGCTCGCAGCAGATACGCAACATTTGGCGGCTTCCCACCACCCGGCCCTACAACCGAGCTGCGCGCGTGCCAATGACTATCGCCGACTCTTCTTTTCACATCGGGGGCTGGGCTTTAAATGCGCCCGGATCACTCCGGCACAATGCAGAGAAAACGGCAATATTTAACGATTCACTAACCTGTCGTAATGTACCGATCAACGACCATTATACAAAGCATTCGTTAATTCGTTATGGTTGGCGTGACAGAGGCCGGTGCTCTTAACACTAGGCACTGGAATTAACCAGCAATGAAGTTAACTAGATCGCATGTTCCCATCCAATGAACGCAGTCGTGAATGCATGTGGTATATGTTTACCAGCGATCAAACTTCCCATTATGTGTTTATGCAAGCGTAGTTCATACTATTGGCCAATCTAGGCCACTCGTCAGTCAACTGGTCCGCACTGAATGCAAGCAAACTACAGCTAGCAAAACTATAACAATCAATACATGACACTACAAACATACAACAACGGTCTCAGATGCCCATCCCTCTGAAAAATGCACTAAGCCCCGAGGCAAAGACCAAGAGCAGTGCAATACGTTTCTGTGCGATCCTGTAATCGCAGGGTGCGCGCAGGGGCGGTCAGATTTCGTCGAGGGTGCGCGAGACAAAGCTCCGATGGCCTCCGCTAGCGCTAATCGCCGCCCGCCACGTGGCAGCGTCACATTAGCCGCATCAATCCGAGGCCCGATTAGCCGGTAATCGCAGGTGTCCGGTGTCCCTACCGCATTAACGGAAACACTAGCCGATGGAGGCTGGCATCGATCACGGTTTGACGGCGCCTTCGGGCGGTGGCGAAACACGCCGCGAGCCGACCCTGGCTGACCCCAGCTGACCCGGCCCGCGGCGGGGAGAGAGCGCCGCCCGCTCGGGAGAGATCTCCGCTAAACGGTGCGGCATCGGGGGCAGAGGTCAACCGTCCCCTGTGTTAACCGCAGTTGCAAGAGCCATAATCAGCGGCGTTCGTGGCTGCACACTCACGACAGCCGCCGGCGGGGCAGTGTAGCAACGGGGGGCCGCGTCGCGTGCCCGCCGGTCGCTAGCCGGCCGGCCAGTTTACACCGCTGCTCGGGCCGACTGCAGCGGGTCATTAGCGTCGGCCGGCGCCGGCCGGCGAGGGCTCGCGTGCGGCGCGGGTCAGGGGTCAGACGGGGCGCGCGGCCAGCCCCGGCCGGTCAGCCCGGCCGGCGCCATTCATTCGGCTCCGGGGTGCCCGGTCTCCGCAGGCGCCAAGCTCAGCATAGCGAGCCAAGTGATGCTACGGTGAGTTCGTGCGATTGGAAACCGCCGCTGGGAAACTGTATATCTGGTTTCGCAGTCATTCAATGGTATTAATTGGCTACATGCCGGGGCGTCAGAGGCTCCCAATCCTGCAACAATTTCACAATTTGGCTGTAGCCGTATAGCACACCTTGCACGCAAGGGAAACATCTATTTGAACTTCGATTCTGTGATGTTCCTTGCAAAATAAATGAACTAGGGCTGTGGTGCGATACTTTCAACTTGTCTGCCTCATGCTTTCTCTATCTACTCAAGGCATTAAATACCATGACTATACTAAAAACCAGACCGCAAGTCAGTCACGCGAACTGTCAATAAAGGGCCAGGTTAAGTTTAGTGCTTGTTCAGTGGGTAATTAATGATCACGCAAACACGCCTGGTCGTTAATGGGCTAATGGAGGAGGGGTTAGTGTATTTCAGTGCGCTCACAGAGCTGAGGCACTCACAAACTAACCTCCAGTGAACATCTCACACAGTCTTCGTATACCGTCTGCTCACTGTGCGCAACTAGGCATTTAGAGGTATCTATATCTATGGAGTATTTATACCTATGGAGTATCTATATCTATGGAGTATCTGTATCTATGGAGTATACCTCAGACAGGTCAACTGCCAACAACATAGAAGACACTCCGATTAACATGAAGACCATCTGCCCCTAAGCGAGCCGTAACTTATTGTGAATCCATCAAAAAAGTAAGCGGACATGGTGCATCAGCGCCCAAACCGCGACAAAGCCATCGGCCCAAGAAGCCGTTCGTACCAAGGTGCTCCTCAGCTGTCGAACCGCCCATCTCTCGGACCCACAGACTTTGTGGTGCGCAGACATCGACAGCATATTCCTCATCAGCCACGAGAGCAACAAAGCCCCCGGGTCAAAGCGAGAATAATAACGGCCCTCTCATCAGCTCATCAAGACAAAAGAGCCCTCCGACGCAGACTTCCACGCGTCTCTATGCATATCTCACCAGGCTCTTGAGCTGCATTCAAAACTCATCTGCACACGAGCCAGCGCGTGTTCCATAGACCACCCGCGAGTTCCCCGCCCCTCTCCCTGAGATTGCCCCAAGCCACCCACTCGCCAAAACCGCACGGCATTCCGAAAACCCAGCCATAGGCGCGAGGGCTTCAGAGCTGGAGGACAACCACGGTCGAAGTATATGTGCGGTAGCTTATATAAGCATGGGAGACGCATTACCCCCAGAGCGTGACAGTTGAGCGAATCAAAGACGAGTTTCATTGGTCTCGGCCTAGCCCCGTGGCGGCGCCGCCGTTGGCACCGCCGTTCAGCGGTGTCCAGGCGGCGTCTGTGGCGGCAAGGCGTGCAATTACGTTGGTGACAACAGTCAGTACAGATGAATAGAGCGGATACGGGCGGGCGGCAGTGCTCATTTGCCAACCGCCACCCCATTGATCGTCGATACCCCATCTGCATGCGCTCCCGCCGCGTCGGCTTCGGCGGGGTGCCGTCGGCGCCGACGGCGGCCGACGAGCGCCGATACAATCGCGAAGGTGAGGGGAGGCGTGGGGAGGGGCCGGACAAACGGTGCGGTGACGCGCATTAGAGCGTGGCGGCGCGACGCTGGGGAGCGCCGCCGAAGCCGGCTCGATATGAACCGTCGGCGTATGCTGGAGCCGCCGCGAACTGACGCAAAAACTCGACGGGTGGCTGGTGCGTCGGCGATCGGGGTGGGGTGGCGGCGCGGGCCGTGGGGACCGTCGTCACAACGCCGCTCGGAGCGACGCGGATCCGGAAGTTTCCAGTGCGAGGGGTCCCAAATGGCGGCGGCAGATAAGGTTGCGTCGTTTTCGCCGTAAGTGTGGCGGCTCACGCCGCACGGAACCCATTAGCGGCATACCTACCGGGCCGCGGTAGGGTTAACATGGCTCGGCGCGCCCCGACACGCCGTTGGACTCACCCGCGCCGGGGACGGCCGGGCGTGCCGGCGGCGTGGGCGCCAGAGGCCGCGGTTCATCGCGGACACACTCACATGTCATGCGGCACAGTATATCGCGCTCGATCTGCCCTCGACGCCAAGGCCGTCCATCACGGCCTCGCGAGGCACAGTCACGTCAGAGCGATAATAACCAGCGCATCGATGGATTCTTTTCAGACGTATGTGGCCGTTCAGGTTTTCGGTCCGGTGTCAAGTACATCTGCACCGTCAGCCTGGCAACCGCCAGCCAATCAGCGCGGCAGGGATTTGCTGGTGAGCCACAGGAAGCGAGGCACAACACTGGGGATGGCTCTACAACAGTGACGGGCGCATGCCTTGCGCTTAGAGACATCCCATGGCACGTTCACAAATGCTTGTCGATTATGCTGCATATGCAACAACCTCCACTGATGCAACAAGTGGTTAGCCGAGAGTTTGTTAAGTTTAACGCCTGGTGGTAGATACTGACGAGGATCGTTAAGGACAAATCGTAAGCCAATTCCTGGTGGATGGCAAAAATGCAACGTTAGAAGTCAAGTGAAAGCTGGATTTTTGAGCAATTTCCCACTAGTACCTTTGTTCAGTTTGTAAACCCTGTTGAAAGAAGCGAAACGTCAGCGCCACTTTGTTCGCTCAGGCTGTTCTGTTACTTGTCAGAGCGCTTTTTACAACAAATGATCGATATCTGGTGGAAATTCCTTACCTCGTAGCCAAGTCCCGATGCACGAAGTTTAGGGATTCCAGATATTTCATACCGGACGATATCTGAGTGGCCATATAAATCAGGCTTCCGTAGCTGCAACGAAGGACAAAAATATCATCAAAAACGCCGCGCATACACAGATTGAGTTTCTGACCATAAATCATGATAAACAGCAAGGAAACGACGGTGATATATGTGGCCATTACTGACATTGAGAGCCCTAGTAGACCAAGGAGGAGAGATGGATGGACGACAAAGAAGAAGTAGTGGCAGAGGATTCGAGCAATAAGAGAAGAGGAGAGAGGGACTGTGGGGGATGGAAAGCCACCAGAAGGAAATAACATAAGAACGAGTACAGGGAAAACCGAAATATATTCAAAGGAGGAAGACAGCAAAATAGGGCGGTGGAGAGATCAAGACACGGTGAAGCGAGAGGGGCATAACCGCGTGAGCTGAAGGAGGCGGTCGACCATCCCGATCCCAGATCATCCCGCCCTGCGACAACGCTCGATGACGGCTTTCCCACGCCTCGCTCACGCTGGCGCCATTGGACGTCCCAGCGCCAACAGGACCGGGCGCGGCCGCGGCTCGGTGGCGGCCCACACCCTCCAGGGCCTCGCCACCCGATACCCAGCACACGGGCGGCGCTGTTTGCCGTGGTAACAGCGAGCGGGCCGGACGCCTGGAAGAGGCAGCCAACCCTTCCACCGGTCAATAGCGGCACGGGCGGCAACAATGGGACCGGTAATGTGAGGACGGCACGCCGGCCGCGCGCAGCGCATCAACCGACGAGAGACGGGCCGCTAGAGGCCGGCCGGATCCACCAGCAGGGACTGCAGGCCCCCGCTGCGAAAATGCGCCGCGTGGCGGGCTCTCTAAACCGAACGGGCGGGCGACCGGTGTGGTCAATCGTTTTTGCCGCGTGTTTTGCGGCGCTGGGCGACGGCGATGTGACTGATACAGGACCCGGAGATGTGTGGACGTGTGGGCATGTGCGCTAGATCAGATGTGCTGGGTGTGCGCGTGGCGGGCTGCGGGGTGAAAATATCAGATCAGGGAGCGGAAAGCACCGCACACCCCTCCCGCTGATCACCGTCACGCGATGGGACGGTGCAGACGGCAGCCGAACAAGTGTGCGTGGTTGCGGTAATGGTTGTGTCTGTGTTAATGACACGATGCTTTTGTTGTGCATAACCAAAAGAAGCGAACACCTAAGTTCATGACATCAAACCCCGTGAGCTACGTCGCTAACACATCGCGTTCCCGTCGCGTGACCTCAAAAAGAGGGTCGTCATGGGGTCACCCAACATGCTCTCAACCCAAATGTCCTCTCAGAGCACGCTCCTTTCACCGGGAACAGGTTGGTTTGAAGTCCTAAACCTAAGCCTAGGCCTTTCGTCCTACCTCGAGCCCTCTGCCAGGGGCGTCAGGGTGGTCTTACCTAAGTACTTTGCCGGAGGCGTGCAGGGCCGTCTCCGCCACGTGCTGCTGCAGGTACTGGTTGAGGTCGCCATGCTCCATATACTCGACCACCACGCAGAGGGGCTCCTCGCGCGTGCACAGGCCCAGCACGCGCACGATGTTCGGGTCTTGCAGGCGGGCCAGGGTGCGCGCCTCCCGCTCAAAGTCCGCCCTGCCGGCAGGCCGGCGCGCGGTCAGTGCGAGTCAACACGACCGGCGCGGCTCGGGCCCGGCTCGGGCCCGGCTTAGGCTACAAGCCGAGCGGCGAGCGGTCATGTCAGGTCAGGTCAGGACCTCACAGCTCACGAGCGCGGCTGGCGCACGGTCCACTCTGAAAACGATCGGTACGGGCGCGGCGGGACACGCTGCGCGAGCATTCAAAGCGCGGATCGACGTCGTTACATGTTTTTGTACGTTGCTCTGCAGTTTAAGCAGCTTCTTTGACTCAACGTGCGGGCTTCACACCCAAAGTTCGTCTCCGAAAAACATCGCCGCGAACTCTAAGTGGGTGGGGGGGGGGGGGGGGGGAGTGCGAGCGCCCCGGCTCAAAGTCCCCGGCGAAAGCGGCGCCGGCGGCCGTCCATTGATCACTCAGGTGGCCATGTCACGCCTGCCAGCTCAATACGCCGGCGGCCGTCCGCGCGCCGAGCCCGGGGACCGGTCGCGCCCAGCCCCCTCCACCCCCGCCCCGCTTACAGCGCGGGCCGTGGTGTGTGGTCCCGAGCGCGTTTTTAGTGGAAGTAGCAGTGGCGTGTGCAAGATGTTCTGGCGGAAGGGCGCAATTTCGAGTCTTCGCGACGAAAGTTAGAAATGGAACAAAAAACATCGAAAATACACCCTTGCATGTCAAAAATCGTAAAGGAAAGCACATACCCACGTGACTCCACTTAAATACGTCCTGAGCAGCATTAAGCCGAAAACCACAGTCGCTCGACCCAGCGCCCCCAGCGGAGTTAGTTACGCTCCCTGACGGCTGTCCCGGCCGTCACGCTCGCACCGGGCCGCCGCCGGCACGTGATCTGGGCGCGCCACTCCTGCAGACGTAGATGGCTCTTCCGGTGACGCGCCGCCGCCGGTGCGCCTTTGATGTCACGTGTGTTGATTACCCGAGACGCCGCCGTCCGGGCGACTTTGAATTCGCGCCGCTACAAGGGACGGCCGCGACATCAAAGACATCAAAACGTGCCGGCGACCACACAGCGCCGGCGGCGGCGGCGGCACCGCAGCCGCTGAGAGGGCAGGGGAAGGTGATGTGTGTTAACGTCGCGCGCCTCTCTGTAGTCAGGAGAGTAAACACGTTTGCAGTGTTCCTGGAGAGTTCGGCTATCCTAACGCAGGTCAAATCTGCTTTTCAGTCATTTCGAGGGTGAAAAGCCGGCTGCCTTCAGTACTCTGCGGTTCGGACCCCGCTGGCCACAGTGAGGGTCGTGTCAAGTTTGCATAGGTTGCTGTTCGCAATGATGGTATGAACAGCTATTAGGACTGCTACTGGTTCGAGGAGCTCCAGAGGACTGTTCGTTCAAAGCCCTTCCCAACGGCGTTTCACTCGCAGCAATAGGGCGCCTTCCAAGCGGCGAAATCCCAATTTCTATGGGACGCAACTTGACGAAGCGCCTGATTGGCTGTCACCGAAACTGATAGATTGCAGGAAGATTCAGGCGAACGACAACAAGAGCCAAAGCGAAAGGGCACTTCCAGTTACTGGGTATTGATCAAAGCCCCGAGAAAGCGATTCGGAAAACATCTCGCGTCGTAAGCTGGAAAATATGTAGCGTGCTGTGGCCGCTGCGTAGCATGATGCATATTTTGAATACAAGCATACTGGCAATACAACGCGGCAAGAGGGAAATGAGCAAAAAACATATGTTTTGATGACAGGTTCAAAGCACAGCATTCTACTCCTGTCCCCTTTATTTTCACAAAAATGACTCCACGGCTTGATGGAAAAATCCTCCCAGGCTTAGAAACAAGGTCGTTCACGGCTCAGCATCTTTTTTTACATAAGAATGCATGAATGATGATTTAGCTCGCCCCGCTTAAGCATGAGAGGTTGCTCAGCATTTTTTTTCGTTCACCCCAAAGCAAATATGTTCCGGCGCTGTATCGCGTCGTGAGAGTTGTGACGGTGCGTCATTACGCTAGCTGTGCTGCTAACGGTAGCCAAACGTATCGGTTTCCAAGCAAACATACTCATGCTCACATCACACGCTGTAATATGCCAAGAACACAGGAATGCATTGCACCGCAATCATGGTAATCGAGCACGTCGGGCGCGTCGCCATCGCCAAGTCAAGTCATCATTGCCAGGCAACGGGGTTTGTGGAAACAAGCCAGGAAGCGATCCCTTGAGGGTAGTTGACGAATACCGTATTACGCGGGGCGAAACGGCGCAGACGGTGTCCCAGGGGTCACTTACCTTTTACTTGGTCTGCTGGCGTGTATTGGGGTGCAATTGGGCGGGATACCGCTGTGCTCTGGGTATTATGGGCATTCCCTTCCATATACCTAATTGCGTCGACCGTTGTATACGTCAGACAAAGACACGATGGTCGCAAGGCCCACGCGGCTTTAAGTGCTGACCATGCTTTGTGACCAGGCCTGTGCTCCCCCACCCCACTAGCATAAGGACTTGTTCAAAGATCAATAAACAGGGACAACACGCGCCAGGAATACTCCACAGCTTCTCCTGAAGAGCAAGCTGGCCTGGGTGCCAGCGCAGGCCCACAAGGAAACACCCGCTGGGACAACCCCACGGCCCCGCCTGAGGAGCAGGCTGGCTCGGGTGCCAGCGTAGGTCTTCAAGGAAACACCCGCTGGGACAACCTCACAGCCCGCCTGAAGACCGGTCGGGCCGGAGATGCCGGCGTCGGCTCATGGCGTCGTACCTGGCCGCCTGGGAGGTGCCGGGCCGCAGCGTCTTGACGGCCACCAGGCTGCGACAGCCGGGCCCAATGACGTCCGGCACCACGTCGCTGCCGCCCTCGATGTGACAAAGGTGCACCTGTGCGGCCCGGTCCCGCGTCACCACCCTGAGCCGGCGACAGAGCCCCGCGGCGCCGGCCGGGCTTCGGTGCGTCACAGGGGCAGCCGCTGGGATTTGAGGCGACGGTGGGAGTGGGTTCGGACGGGTTTTTAGAGCGCTGGGTTTAGATGCAAGGCGGCACACGTGGGTGGAAGTGATTACAATTCTGGTATGGGTAACCGGCGTACTTTGTTCAGGCTGATGGTTTGGTTCCAAGGCGAACGAGGCGCACTGGCACCTCTTCGCATTGTCTGGGTTATCAAGTTGTAAATTTATGCGCCTTGGAGGATTTAAATGGATCACCTGCAGCGGCTTGGAGAAGGGTCGGGGCACTTTGTTTTCGCGGAACGAAGATAAAGCGATGCCGCGCGTCACAGACAATCGAAATCTACAGCCCCAGCGGCACACGAACAACGGCTTGCAACAGCAGTTACAGTCCCTCGCCGATGAAGTACGACAACTGCGCGAAATGGCGCACGCTGGGTTTGCCATCCGCGCCGAACTTATACGGTGGTAACAAGAGGGCACCCAGTGGGAGACCGATACGCAACGGAACGAGGCAATTTATATCTGAATAGGACTCCCGGCGCGAGCGCCACCGCCACCCGCAGAGACGAACCGGCACCGAGAACAAATGGAACACCAGAAATTACCTCGCCGAACTGACCCTCGCCCAGTTTTTCGTAGAGCTTCAGCTGATGGCGCGGGATCTGCGGAATTTCAACGTCGTCCATCGGTCCGTTTTCTTCCGACAAGAAGTTCGTTGGCTGGAAATGGAAAGAAGAGAATGGACTCAAGGTAAAAAGTCTCGAAAGCATTAATCTGGTAACCATCAAGCACTGAGCGGTGAACAGCTGTGAATAGCGAAAATATAATCACTTTTCAAAAGAATGAGACTACCAAACCAAACCAAGAAACAGTGGCCTAACATGATTACTATGAAATGCGTTATAGCTAAGTACGTTATCGAATGCTATGGTCCCCGGGATATGTGTGAAGGCGTTAGCAATTTCAAGTCTGTCTTAGTCACATTCAGGTAAAGCGAGGATCAATGAACACAACTCATGCACTGAATTTGTTTATTCTTCATCAAGCCCAAGGACGGATCGGATGCCTTACGCAGTCAAAGCAATTGTATCTGCCCTCCCCGCCCGCTGCCCTCCCCGCTGCGCCTGCCTCCCCATCCGCTGTTCTCTCCGCTCCGCCTGCCCTGCCGCCCGCCGTCCTCCCCGCTGCGCCTGCCTCCCCATCCGCTGTTCTCCCCGCTGCGCCTGCCTCCCCATCCGCTGTTCTCCCCGCTGCGCCTGCCCTCCCGGTCCGTCCCCGGCCGGCCTCTCTCACCCTGCAGATATCGGTGGCGGCGTAGTGTTGCTCCAACACGGGGCTGGCGGCGCCGCGCCGCAGCGCCGTCACCGTCTTCGGGCTGTGCTTGGAGCGCGGACTGAGGCTCAGCTGCGGGCTCGCCGGCGGCTCCAGCGCCATCTTGGGCCCGTTGGTCAGCGGCGGCCGCTTGCAGCTCGAGAGCGGGCTGTTGGTGACGGGCGGCAGCGGCGGCGGCGTCGTCATCAGCGGCTCGGCGTAGTCCTGCGACTGGTAGTCTGACAAAAGAAGGAAGAGAAGCGTCACCAAGGGGTCCATCTATAGCGGCAGGTTCGGGCTCAGCAGCCCTGCGGTCGTTGATCTGCCGAGCGAGGTCGGGGCAGCTGTCAGGGGCTTCGATGGTCCTACGCATGGCAGTCGGTCTGGAGAGAGTGAAGTAGTTGTCGGGGGCTCAGATGGTCCTGTGCATGGCAGTCGGTCTGGAGAGAGTGAAGTAGTTGTCAGGGGCTTCGATGGTCCTACGCACGGCAGTCGGTCTGGAGAGAGTGAAGTAGTTGTCGGGGGCTTCGATGGTCCTACGACTGCGAGTTTGTCGAGAGGCAGTGGGACCATCAGCGGTACCTCGGTGTAATCTCATGAGATTGACGATCTGCGCATAGACAGCGCAGCTTTTCCATTTCCATCGTTCTCGTACTCCACTGTCCCGTGCCTAAAGCGCTGACATTTGAAGCAGTTTCACAATCTGTATTGCTTTCGTTGTGCCGCGACATATGGATGTGGGGGTGACTCTTAATCATGAAGGACTGTGATATATATATATATATATATATATATATATCTTTAAAAAATCCCCACGCAGACTCTCTGTGGAGACGCAGTGCATTGTCGTTAAGCTATTCACTCGCGTCTCCGTGCAACAGAAAGGATATGTCGGTTTACCCCAGTGGAGAAGCACATCGTGTGATCTATTTCAAGGGCTTCGGTACGTGTCGTCCTCCTGAGCACAAGCTCATTACATCAACGGAAACCAAACGCTGACAACTGAGCCATGACACTGTCATATTCACGTATAGTTTTGTAAATCTCGGCGATTTATCGCACGTAGTCACGCTAAACGTCCACTGAGAATATTTCGATTTCGCAGCTTTGAAGGGCATCATTGCCATTACAAAAGCATAAAACGAATCTAAAAGAAAGATGGAGATCGTACCTACTTATCACGAGTGATTATAGCGCATTGATAGACAGTAAGTACCTCTTAGTTGCGTGACTAAACCAATATGCCGGGTTTAAGCACATAATTACGATTTTCAGACCCTAATTCGTATGGAACATACAAGACTGACTGACTACAACTGACTCATACAAGACTGCTCTGAGTTTTGCATCTGAATAAGCCACAAAGGTCACGCTAGGCAGTGCGTTACTAAAAACAAAATGTTGACCTAGGTCATTTTAGGTCAATGACCTATTCTGACATATAAGAAATCCATCGAAGATGCAGAGTGCGGTTCCTGCTATCAACAAATTCGAAACGAACACCAGAAACTATCCCATACAACAGGTCCTAGAGTAATAAAACAGGTTGGTTTTGACCCCGGTCTGACTTTCATACCTGACCTTAGGTCAATGTAATTTGCTCATTCAGTTGTTGTGTTGCCTAAGAAAGCATCTCAAAGGCTTCGTCTAACAATCCGTTGTTGCATCAGATTGGACGATTCCCAGGAAATTGAATTCGCTGAAATCACGGCCTGACTTCGGCCTGCCATACGTCAGTGACCCTAAGAGGTACATCCAATTTTTTATACACCAAGCGATCCGCCATTCAATTTTCTACAGCTATGCAAAAATTGGCGCGGCTGCGCCACGCCGTTCGGTAATCATTCCGGAAAACCTTCGGGGAGGGGGGGGGGGGGCAATTTGACTTCCCACCCGAGCGCGTATTCAGTTAAAACAACTTTAAAGCAAAATTCCGAAACCGTAGCTAGAGGGCACAACCACATTTTAAGCCTAAATTATCATCACACATCATGACCTCGGAACTGGAAAGTAGGTCTCACCAGCGTCATGCGCAGCTGTTGTTGACGTCGTCATGCTATCGACAGACATAATATTTTCCACAATATCGTCGCGGGCAGCGAAGACAAGTCCCAATGTGACTGTACGCTCGCTGCCACGCGCCTCCCAGTGTCGTCTTCTATCGATTTCCCGGGGTGAAGTTAATAAATTTATCCCCGTGCCGGCAGACCAGAAGAAAAGGCGTTTCCACCCTTCGGGGCTTTGTCACCATGGTAACGCCTATAATTGCGCTCGGTCGCGACGGTCGTGGCCATCCATTTATGCATCGCTTTGGCTCGTTGCCCATTCAAAAGGCAAGTGGATAAGTGGGCATGTACGCGTGAACACGCATTGATGCATTGCACAGCTAACTGTGCAATGCATAAATAGAGGTGGGGCTCGGCTGTCCTTCGGAAAACCTTGCTCTAAAAAACGCCCACTTCAAGCAGCGCAGAGCATTTCACACAAAGCAAGGCCTTCGCCTAAGCGACTCAACCGGCCTCACCGAACCTGACCTGACACGATAAGCGGAGACCAACTCGGCCGTCCGGAGCCGGCGGTGGTCGCCCGGTCCCCGGGGGCCGTTTGTCGGCGGGTCGTTGTCGGCAGGTACGCCCCATCGATGTGGTCGGCACGGCCGCCTGCATCGACCCGGCGCCGGTCGGCGTTTTGGCGGGGGACGCGGGGCAGCACGTGTGGGCGAGGCGGCCGTAAAAGACACCCACTGGCCGCCGAACGGCACGGACCTGCCGTCTGCTGGAGCGTGACGATGGATGGCAGGGGTATTGCAGTTACACATCACGGGTTTGCAGGTCAGTCCCCGTACTTTGGTTAAGCGGCAAGAGCGAGTCCATGCAGCCGTCTGACTCATGCGCACGTCTTCAATCACGATGATGAGTGCGAGGGCGTAAGGGGTAGCAAACACCGCTGAACAAAGCGACGCAGGTCAAACTTCCATACTAAATAGGTGGAAAGGCATATTGTTTGGAGTTACAAGCGACAGGTGACGGTAGATTGGATCGAAGGCGAAGCGAGGTGGTTTTTACATGCTCGTGGCACGTGAGCACTCGTCAATGTCGCTTTGGTATTCGGCCTTGGGGTCGAAACGCTTCTTCAAGCTGCTGACCACCTGTGTGGTTAGGGCTATGATGACAGGAATGCCCATTTAGTGCGCGCTGTAACCTTCCATAACTCGTGGAAGGCTTTCGCAGTCATTTGATGATGGCTGCGTTTTCACTAACGTTGTTCAGTCATTTGATGACAGCCACGTCTTTACTAATGTCGTGTAGTCACTTTATGACAGCCGCGTTTTCACTAACGTCGTGCAATCATTTGAAGACGATTTCGTTTACGTTCTGCTATGTCATCCTTGCACACACTCACCCACGCATTGAAAAGGATAGAACTGAGCGAAAAAAATTGTTAGCCACATTGACATCATTCTAATGCGCTGTTTTTTGTGCTGAGTTTACTTAAAGGGCGTTTTACAGCAATCTTCTTAAAACGACTGTCGTCAGTTTACTGGTTTTGTGCGCAAATACATAACTGAAATGAACGCATTCCTTTAACAAAATGCATGGTACTCGAAGTTGTAAGCAGGCGTGTTTTTCCACGGACGGGAAATGGCCCTAGTCAGGCAAGTATGAGGATACAAAATTGCGAGAAGAGAAACATCTGGCATTGACAAGACTAAAAGCTCTTACCAAAGTCACCATCGGAGTCATTATCGAACAAAACGACTCGGAAAACGAGGTGTGAACAAAATGCGTAACTAAAAACGCTATCATTTGGCAATCGCACTTCCATAACTGATTTGTAACATAACATAACATAACAACTGATTTTTATCCTTCGCAGCCCAGAAGCACAGCGTCCGATACCGTCTTTGACATACCATCGCAAACATTGACGAACGCCAAGCACAACCCTAGCCTCTCCCCCTTCCCCCGTGAGAAGAGCTCAGCAGAGCTGAGTGTTTTCCGGTGCCGGGAGCCGTGCCCCTCCTCGTGAGCACGCTCCGGCCGCCCGTCTCATTGGCATGCATCCCCAGCCACCCCCATTTTCCGCACCGCAGTCCGGGCCCGCTGCATACAACAGTGCCGGCTGAACATTTCAGGTAGCCCGATGGGACAAATTGGACAGCGGGCCGCCGACAGATGAGTTAGTGCCGCGTACACAGACTCATAGTGGTCCGGTGGCGGCGAATTCCGGAGGAGGCGGGCGCAGTTGTCGGTGATATTGGCACAGTTTGACGCCTGGGACGTGTTTGACCCCGCGGCGGCATGGGCTCGCCGCCGCCCGCCACAGCCATACATCAGAAAGGCGACGGCCCATCAAATAGCATGACCCCGTCGGCATGAGGCAAAGGCTGACAACGGACGGCCGCGCAACCGGAACGGCTTTATTTCTGGATCGTTGCCCACCGTTTCTGGGAAACGGCTCCACAACGTGGACGATATTACCGCACGCCAGTGAGTGAGGGCTGGCGATCCCGTGCATCCACAAACGAGCAAATTTACCGCCCTTCGGTGGATCCAGGATAGATGGGCAGGTGCTTATTACACAAGCAAAACGGTGTTCGCACCGGAACACAGAAGACGGCGACCATAATTTAAGCACGTCTTGGTCTGCTATCAACTCAGGAGGCACACCCAAATAAATCGCTATGATGCTCGGTTATCACGCATACCAGCCTATCTCGCCCTGTATAGGTCTTGAGAGTCCTGACGTGAGCAAAACCGCTGCAGCGTGGCGACACCGGGCCTAGAAATACCGCGAATAAACCGGAAGACGTTGTTCTGCAAGCATCTCCCAACTGCATTGAATGGATGGTTGGAAACGCAGCATGCAAGTGCTGAGAAAATGGGGACGGGGTTGAGGGGTAAACAATCTGGTTTATCTGGACTGAGCTGCTCGATTCCAAATTAAGCATTAGCCAACATATCTCGAGCTCGTTGCCAAACAAGCACCAACGCATCGACCATAGCAGTGACATTGGATTACTTGGACCGCGTGGCAGGCAGAACAACCTACTTAAGAAGGGCGAGGGAACAGACACTGAGGAATCCGCACGCAACTGCAGCTGCTGTCCGGTGGCGGTGCTACGGCTCATTCCACCACGCCATCGGAGCGGGCCACTCTAACGTCACAGCTGTCACGCCCCGTCACGCAGTCAAATGACCGGTCCGCGCGCGGGTGCCCACGCTCCTGGCGCACGTACCTGCGTAGTGTCCGGGGCTGAGTGGTTCGCCATACTTCTCGCAGATGGCGCTGTACGGGGTACGGTATCCGGACTCGGCGTACTGCTCCCCCAACGCGGTCTGCCGGTGGAGGGGACGGTGCTCGTGACTGAGGACTGCCGGCCCCGCCGGCCACGTACATGGTACAGTCGAGCGCGCGCCCTGCCTGCGTACGAGACACAGCGTCAATAACGTGATGGTGTTAGAACGCATGGCGCACGACGTTGCGAAGCCACTAAAATGTCCTTAATATGTTGAGGTTCTTTCTCAGCTAATGCCAATTGCAGGGGCTGCTAGATTATGGGGAATTGTGGTCAGTGACGTTATGCTGGTAAATCGAACTGAACGAGACTGGTCACTGCGCGAAAGACGCATTTCATCGCTATCAGCTGGATAATCAAACACTTTTCCAACACCTCTCTAATCACAAACATACCACTAAAAAATAAACTAAAAGTCCTGGCGCCGCTAAACAGGCGCCTGAAATACCCGCCTTCGTCTCCGAAAAACCTCCATCGTCTCACCACCAACTCCGCCAGCACCACAAGCCCGTCACCAGCGCCACGCCCTGGCCACCAGCGCACCACCAGCCTCAGCCGCCATCCCCCCGCCGCCGCGCCCAATCCCCGGCCGGCCTCCCCCGACCCGTCAGTCGTCAGTGGACCGAGCCAGCGGCTGCCGTGGCGCTGCAGTCAGCCCCGGAGCCGCGGCGTGGCCCCGGAGGTCACCTGCCGGCGCTCGCCGACCAGCTGATTTATGTCCGGCACCGCCGCGCTCGGGCCGACCCGGGAATAACAGAGCAGGGGGCGACACGCTGCTTGACATTCCGGACGGCGCACCGCCGCGGTTCGACGGCCTGATTCCTAACATCAGAAGAACGCATCGTCGCCCGTCCCCTCCGCCCCGCCAGAAGGGAAGTGGGGGAGGGGGTATTAGGCGGCGATCGCTCACGCCTGATCAAAGGTCCCGCCGCGATGACCTCGCCGCATCGCCCACGCCCGTAATGGCTCGGTGTGTTTGTTCTCGCCCCAGGGGTCGGCGCGCCGAGCGGCATCGCTGTCTGCAAGGCGCCCTATCTGTCGGTGGGGGCATGACATCAGGCGGGCTCTATCGCGCCCAGCCCGGCGCCGCCGCCGCCGGGCCGAGTCAAAGGGCGTCGATGACTCGGCCGCACCGGAAGCCGGCTCGCGGCCGACTCAGCGGCGCGCTGCTCGCTGTTTATTCCGCTCACAGCGACGGACAATGGGACGGGAGCGGGCGCGCTCGAGCCCTGCTATCCGTCATTGGAGCGGCCGACTGACAGTGCCGTCCCGGGCACAGGCCCACGTGCCCACATCCGCGAACGCCCCGCATAACGCACGCCACACTAATGGTCGCCGGGGGCATGGGAACCGGCGCTCGTGAAACACGACAAATAGGCGTGGCGTGTCCGTGGCCAGCCTCGCCATGCGGAGGCGATGCTCTGCATTCTAACCGCCACCACGAAGACATATTTTGGTACCGTGATCCAACTATTCTAGACGCGTTGAAGGAACAGGGCGTTGATCAATCTGGCATCGCGTAAGGCACGGCGATCGGTTACGGCACGGTTATTGGTGCGGTACGGTGCGGTACTCGGTACGGTGCGGTACGGTACGGTATGGTGATCGGTACGGTACGGTCACCATGTATGGTAATCAGAGCACGAAACAAAACGCGCATTTCTGCACACCTTGACGCGTGTCCTCTATACTGGAGATTACTCGGCGCATCAGTATGCCTCAGTATGTCGTCCACATCCACACCATCGGGGTGCACCAGCTTGGTGTACCGGAATGCACCAGCGTCCACGGTGACCCACCTTGGCACCGTCCGGGTGCAGTCGGTCGGCGTACGCGGGAGCCAGCTGACTGACGACCTGGCCGGCCCGCTGGGCGCGCACCCTGTGCACGATATACAGGATGACCAGCACCAGGATCAGGATGACGCTGCTCAGAGCGCCAATCAGGCCGATGTGCTCGTTGGAGAGGCCGTCGCCGTCCGCCGTCGTGCTCGCTGCGAACAGGGGCGCCGGCGGTTAGCAACATGGCGGCGCGCAACGGCGACAGCGCGCCGCCATTGTGCTCAGCTGACCGCGCCCGGCATGGTTAATGCAGGGTGTCTGTGAGTGATCGCGGGACTGCATCACGTCGAGGGAAACAATCGGTCACCTTTGAGGCGGCGCAGGTGACGCGGGCGGCGCCCCGGGTCGGACCGGCCACCGGACGCGGCCGGTCATTAGCCATGGGAAGTCGTCCGTCAAGTTGTAAAGGTCATCGGCGAGCGGCATTGCTTGGGTCAATGTGGTTTGGGTCATTCTGGGCCGGCTATAAACTACCTGCAGCGGGCCAGTCCTTACAGTAGACATGAAAATCACGGACTACATGCAGTTACGCCCGTAGTCACGCTTTCGTGGAACGGTCCTTTCTCAGGGCATGCCCAAATCAGTGTCAGTTGGAATTTAAATGAGCATTGGTTTAACGCATTTAAACCCCGATTTTAGCAGCGGACCACTTGCCCCACATTCAGTCGCATCGTGGCACCGAACTGTGCCTTAAGGCGCCCGTAAGCAGCGAACGGCCCAATCGCTAACGAACGGCCCAATCGCAGCGAACGGCCCAATCGCTAACGCAGAACTGTCACGCGCCGGTCAGCTCCTGATCAACGCGAGCAATGGATGCCAGCGTCCCATGGGAATTCCTCCTGATCTCAACAATGTACTAATGACATCTCACAACAGCTAGGCCTTATTTCGCTTTGGTTCGTTCATCTGCATACGCGACAGGCCGTGAGCGTTGTTCTGGCGGTTTTGTCTGCTTTGCAGGTGCTCGGGCCGGGCAGAAGACTCCGGCTTGTTTATGGGAGGGTCGCCTTAGACACGGGCCATCCGAGAGGCCAGATTAAGGCACCAACTGCACGCCCGTCCGAGTTATTCCCCTCTTCATCTCGCATAAGTGCTGGCCACACGCCCGTTTACTCACACATAAACATGGATAATTCGTGGGCGGTACGAGAGACGGCTGCGACGGCGGCCGGCCGGCTCCACCCGCGGCGGAGCCCGCCGCCGGCCGCGCGCGGGCCGCGCCGCCCCGGCCGCCGACCGACAATGCTGCGGGCCAAGCTCGCCACACGGCACGCATAAATCACCTGCAAACGCCCGCCTGCTTAGATCCGGCCGCTTAATCACAGGGCGCCATTCATAATCAACTCCGTAAGTGGGACGAATGAATTGTTTAATTCGGCGCATCATTCAATTAACGTCGGAGGAGCCCGGGATGGCCGCTTTCAACAGGTGCGTCGCTATCCGGGCGCAGTGTCAGGTCAACGCCCTCAGTTCGGCTGTGGGCTGTTCATCGGCATGCCGGCACGTGGTTATTGCCGCTGTGAGTCACTATGTCACTATGTTACTGTGTCACGAAGTGCTCATGCCTTGGAAAGAGCATGACGCCTTAAAATCGGCAAGTTAAAAAACAGTTTGCTGGTACGTAAGCCGTGATAAAAACGAGATCTTAGGTCATGCGCTCTGAGGGAATGCCTGCCATTCGTTGTCGTCCGGTCTGCAAAAAGGACTGGGCCAACCGACATTCCAAGAGCAGCTTTTCAACATGAACAGCTCGCGATCAGATGCAATGCTGCCAGTTTTGAGCTCTGTCACCAGCCAACTAGGCCAAAAAGCTAGTAGACCAAACGACGCGGTAACAAAAGTACCACTATTGCTCACCGCTTCTCGAACGACGCATGTTGAGTCTAAAACTTCTATGAATATACTCAGATGCCAAAAGAGTCCCCGGAAAAACAGGAGTAACTCAGGAAGATGAAGACAACTTAAAAATGTCACGCTATCTCAGGAATGTTAAAGACACATCAGGGGAGTGTGCAGCAAATTTAATGTACCTTGCTAAATATCGCTCCCTTAAGCGCTGAAAATAAAAAACCTTCAAAAACTATTTTTCCAAGTTGGATGGGCACGTATGTTCCAAAGTACACTTTTCCAACCGCACATGACGCCGAACAATAAAGAATCCCCAGCTATTAACGTTTTACCCAAGTAGCCGCACCGTAACGCTGCGGCCAAAAGCGTTCCCATATCTGAGTGTTGGTTACACATACTCGCTCTCATATCTGAGAGTGTTCGTCATTCAGACTGGCTCTCATAACTGAGAGTGTTCGTTATACATACTCGCTCTCATAACTGAGAATGTTCGTTACATATACTGCCACATTCGATTCCCTTAGTACCCTCGCAAAGGGTTTTTCGGGTTTAAGCCAAAGCTTTGCAAAATTATTGTGGCGGAAACAGCAAACGACCGGGGAATACAGAACTGTATCATCACTCAGGAGGAAATAGCGTAACTTTTTGTGTACCCAACGATGAAATGACTTCCCATTACCACATATCCCTCTTACCAAACGGACCTAATGCAGGCACGCTGAACAAATTTGTTTGCTTTCGCAAAAAGCCCATAACAAGCAAAAGCTGAGACCAGAAATGACTGGGTATGCACATGGACAGGCGATGTATCACGTTGACCCTCGAATTGCTCCCAGACCAGACCGAACAGAGACGGACGTATCGGAGAGCCGACGGTGCGGGGTGAAGAGGACAGCTCTCACGACGTCGTATCGGAGAACCGACGGTGCGGACGAGTCGTATCGGAGAAACGACGGTGCGGGTGAAGAGGACGGCTCTCAGGGCGTCGTATCGGAGATCCGCCGGTACGGGTGAAGAGGACGGTAAGGGCGAAGAAGAGGAGTTCTCATATGATTTGCCGTGATTTGCTGGCGTGGGCCTTTGAGAAATGCACATGTACTACAGTGTTGTGATCTTAACACTGTTGCTAGCTGTTTATGATAGTGAGAGATCTTGATTTCACAGGGGAAATATCCGTGAAGTCATGAGACAACCGTTCGTGTATCAAATGCGTGGTTCAGGAGTAAGCTGGAATTGGCTGCTCATGTTATGTCCATGGTGATTACTAAAAAGGACGCATCACATATAATGCTGGTTGGTCTCAGCGCAGCAAATCGGTGAGAGGCATAGGCTGACCCGGACGGCAAGGCATGTCCCGCGTCGGCTGTCCCGGACGGCGAGACACGTCCTGCATCGGCTGACCCGGACAGCGAGACTTCCCGCATCGGCTGACCCGGACGGCGCGACTTCCCGCATCGGCTGACCCGGACGGCGAGACTTCCCCCATCGGCTGGCCGAACAGCGAGACTTCCCGCATCGGCTGACCCGGACGGCGAGACTTCCCGCATCGGCTGACCCGGACGGCGAGACTTCCCGCATCGGCTGACCCGGACGGCGAGACTTCCCGCATCGGCTGACCCGGACGGCGAGACTTCCCGCATCGGCTGACCCGGACGGCGAGACTTCCCGCATCGGCTCAGCCGGACGGCGAGACTTCCCGCATCGGCTGACCCGGACGGCGAGACTTCCCGCATCGGCTGACCCGGACGGCGAGACTTCCCGCATCGGCTGACCCGGACGGCGCGACTTCCCGCGTCGGCTGACCCGGACGGCGAGACTTCCCGCATCGGCTGACCCGGACGGCGCGACTTCCCGTATCGGCTGACTCGAACAACGAGACATTTTACGCGTCGGCTGACCCGGACGACGAGACACGTCCCGCATCGGCTGACCCGGACGGCGAGACACGTCCCGCATCGGCTGACCCGGACGGCGAGACCTATCACGCATCGGCTGACCCGGACGGCGAGACACCTCCCGCATCGGCTGACCCGGACGGCGAGACCTCTCACGCATCGGCTGACCCGGACGGCGAGACACGTCCCACGTCGGCTGACCCGGACGACAAGACACGTCCCGCGTCGGCTGACCCGGACGGCGAGACACGTCCCGCATCGGCTGACCCGGACGGCGAGACCTATCACGCATCGGCTGGCCCGGACGGCGAGACACGTCCCGCGTCGGCTGACCCGGACGGCGAGACACGTCCCGCGTCGGCTGACCCGGACGGCGAGACACGTCCCGCGTCGGCTGACCCGGACAGCGAGACACGTCCCGCGGTCTCGCCCCGCGTCGGCTGACCCGGACGGCGAGACACGTCCCGCGTCGGCTGACCCGGACGGCGAGACACGTCCCACGTCGGCTGACCCGGACAGCGAGACACGTCCCGCGGTCTCGCCCCGCGTCGGCTGACCCGGACGGCGAGACACGTCCCGCGTCGGCTTCCTGCCACACAGCGGCCGTCGGCTGACGTGTCCAGAAGACGAGACGGCCGCCCATTCAGGGCCTAACGCTGCCGTCAGTCAGCCGCCGGCCGCCGCCATTGTGTGGGCGCCTCTGCGACGATGCCGGCCGAAAATGGAGCCACTTCGACAGCCTCGGATATCACGTCAGGCAACACGCAGTGCTGCGCGTCACCGTGTCGCTGAAGCTACTCTTCGGGGTGGCGGTGGTTGTGGGGTGGGGGTGTTTATGATGGCGATTTTGCCTTTTCGCAGACGACGCGAAGGTGTTCCGTGAAGGAGGTCGCAGAAGCTCAAGAGGGGCGTCTTATTTTCCGCTGATTTCGGGCATGTTTCCTATGGGAGATTTAACGAGTGCGCTAGCTGGAAGGTGAAAACGCGAAGACAAGCTGGGGACAAATGCTTGCGTACTGAAGGCGTCGTACAGGAGTTAGTTGGAGTTAATTGCACATGCAATGCTTGAACCGATTTCCATTACAAGTTAAGCCCTTTCAGACTCGGTGAATTTCGGAATTCGTGACTCTGCAATCGAACAGAGTGTAGCTGATTCGATACAAGAAAACTTCGCGATGAAAGTTGAGACGTATAGCTTTGGCAGACGCATCCATTCCGCTGAAAACATTTAACGGCATATTAGAATCAACCCAGACGGAGGATGCATCAAAAATATGAAAAACAACACTCCATCTCCCGAAAAAATGGTGAAAGCAAACAGAGGCACGCGTCAAGGAGATCAATGCTCGACACGCGAAGCCAAACGACAGAGCGTCTGCCTCCGGGGAGAAAGCGACGGTGGTGGACAATACATCGGCAGACTGGGAACTCATCTGGCGGCGCGTTGAAAAGAAACATGCACGAGCTTCCAGCTGTCGGCGGCCGGCTGAAGGGCACACAGAGGTCAGGTGGAGAGCCCTTTCTAATCGGTGGCGCCCCGTGGTGGCACTGTTGTTATCATCGCCGGACGGCCATTTCTTTCATTGCTGAATGAGTGCTCCTGCGGCTGCAGCTATTTCGCTCGGCGCCATCGATCAATTAAGCACCGCCACCGACAATTGAAATATCATGGACGATGACGAGGCTCTCGGCGCGGCGGAGTGGAGAGCATAGCGTGCGGAGGCGCCGCGTGCTGCGGAAAAGGGCCGCATCATCCGCGCCAGGTAGGTTCTTCTTATCCAAACTAATTGAAACGTCTGCGGGCAGGCCTAACTAACGAGGCCGCTACTTGAGTCAGTTGCTGTGACGCAATTTATCACCACTAACGAGCCAAATGTGGCGCGCTACCGACGTGACAGATGCCGCCGCGCGCCCTCCGAGAAGCGGAGCAGCATACGCGGCATACAGCGGCGCCACCTACAGAGATGCCGCCAGTGGGGCCGGCAGGAGGTCATCAAAGGTCGCCTGGCCAGCCGGAGGCGTCTGGCAGCGTGAGCCCGCGTTTGTACAGGCACTCAAGTATTCCAGTGATGTCCACCGAACCAACTCACAAAATGTCACCGACTAGCGAGCGAACCTCCTGGAGTGAAAGCAGTGGCAATGTCCGCGGGGGGCGGGGGGCAAGACCAGGGCCGTCTGGAAGATCGCTTGTCCTCCACCAGTGGCGGGTGGGCAGCTTGTTCGCCGCGGCGCAGCACTGAACCGGACCGATCCCCGCACCGAGATTCCCACTGGGACTTTTTGTCCGCGTGCTCCAGCCGGGCGGCAGCCATGGTCAGCAGGCCGAACGGGCGGCGACGCGGTCCAATTAATTACCCATTATCGGCGGCCCCACGCGCCACCCCTGTCCGCAGCCCAGCCGGCCACTGTAATTGGTCCCTGTCCAGATGTCGGACAGCGTTTTACTGCGCCGCGGACGCCCGATAGCCGAATGACCAGCCATCTGTACGCGGTCATCGCGGTCGAAGAGGGCGCAGATGGCCGACCAGACAGGACCCGGAGACCGGATCCGGAGACCGGACCTGGGCACCGGACTCGGGGACCGGACTTGGGGACCGGACCCGAGTGGCCGGACCCGGAGACCGGACCAGAGATGACGTCGGAGTGCTAGCGAAAGCGAAGTTGGGACATGGGGATAGTTTACTTGTGGCGCACGCTCCAGCTGAGGGCGGGAGCCGTTCAGGGCTCCAACTGAGGGCGGGACACGTTCAAAGCTCCAGCTGAGGACGGGGGCCGTTCAGAGCTCCAGCTGACGACGGGAGCCGTTCAGAGCTCCAGCTGAGGGCGGGGGCCGTTCAGAGCGCCAGCGAGGGCGGGTGCCGTTCAGAGCTCCAGCTGAGGGCGGGACCGTTCAGAGCTCCAGCTGAGGGCGGGGCCGTTCAGAGCTCCAGTTGGGAAGGGAGCGGACCTGAGGTCTTACCGGGACACGCATGGGTATCCGAGAGTCACGGGTCACGTAATGATGCGTTGCGAACGCGAAGCAATGGCTGTGTCGCCTGATCTGGTCTTATTGATGGGCCATCTGAAGCGCAGCGACAGTGCGGGAACGGTAGTGCCGGGCATCCGCTTACACCCCATCTGGCATATGAACACGTTATTCAAACATCATAAAATCACGAACTTTTCACATGAAACATTAGTTATAAGCCATCCAACGGACAGAGGCCGGAAACTGTTTCAAACCCGGTAACTTGTCATTGTTAGTCCAAGGCGCAGAAACGATGTCACTCATTGACGTAACAGCTCCAGGAAGAAATTAGTTGCAGGACCAAAAAAAGAACACCGAACAAGAAGTCTAGAAGCCCTGTTTTCTAAAGGATGTGAAAAATATTGTTTTCGCATCTGAAGAGAAAATACAAAAGATCACCGCTGTCCACATAAAGTATCGGTTGTCATTTGAACAGGCCCAGCCAATCCACCCCACCAGTCCTCGGCAAACCTCTTACAGAGAACGGAGCTACCGCCGAGATGCGACGATTTTTACCTTTCAGGCCCAGATAGGAACGCGGAAACAAACCGAGCCGAGACAGTGCCGGTCGGCCGTCATCCAGTACCTGTCAGCCGTCATCTCCGCACATCAGCTGATTGAGGGACCGCCCTACTGCGGCCGCACGTGAGGATGATTAGCCTAATCAGCTGATGATACAGCGCAGCGGGGGCCGGCCGACTTATGAGCCGGCGGCGGCGGCTCGGCCGGGACTGGAGCCGCCCATCCCTCAGCGCCGCTGGACCGGCCACCCCTCATCGGTCACAGGTGGCGAGCAGACCGTGAGGAGGATACTGAAGCCCTGCCAGGAGACCGTGAGGACACTGAAGCCCTGCCATGAGACCGCGAGGAGACTGAAGCCAAGCCAGGAGACAGTGAGGAGACCGAAGCCGCGCCAGGAGACAGTGAGGAGACCGAAGCCCTGCCAGGAGACCGTGAGGAGGAGACTGAAGCCCCGCCAGGAGACCGTGAGGAGGAGACTGGAGCCCAGCCAGGAGACCGTGAGGATGAGACTGAAGCCCAGCCAGGAGACCGTGAGGAGGCTGAAGCCCAGCCAGGAGGCCGTGGGGAGGAGACTAAATAAATATCTGTCAGAAGACCGTGAGGAGGAGACTGAAGCCCCGGCCAGGAGACCGTGAGGAGGACACTGAAGCCCCGGCCAGAAGACCGTGAGGAGGAGACTTAAGCCCCGGCCAGAAGACCGTGAGGAGGAGACTGAAGCCCCGCCAGGAGACCGTGAGCAGGCTGGCGACCCGACGCCGGTGACACGCAGCAGGATTGGAAGTGGATTGCGGTCTGCAGATACGGCGTGGCCTCGGCCCGGTGGCAATCAATCGATATTTGGAACGCCGAGGTTTCCTGGGTTGCGCTGAGTGGCGGCTTGAAAATCAAACTTATTGGGAAATGCTGTCCAAGTATGTTATAGATGACGTGCTTCGTCGTATTGGCGGAATTGGTATCATCTATCACGTCGGGAAGACACATACCACAAGATGACATTAATTGACCAATCCATTATTGGTCTAACATATTAATGCTTTGAGAACTGCATCATCTGTTTCAGGAAAAAGTACTGATATCTGAAATGAGAAGGAAACAATGACACCTGGGAAACAGATATAAACCTGTCAACATGTTCGATAAAGTACTTTCACAATGCCTGAACACAATAGTGCACTATTCTCCATACGACGATTTCAGTTCCCAAAAATGAATCAGTAGTTTAAAGGCTTTGTCTGCTGAAAATGAAATGTACATTTTGGGAAAGAATGTGCAAATACATCACGCAGTGAGGCATGTTGTGGAACAAATGCTTGCAAAAGGATTGTCGCCCTTTAACAACAAAAAAGGAACGTTAAAAAACATGCGCAATGGTGTGATAACCTTCCATCTCGTCTGATCATCCCACGAAAGTGCCGTTAGGGCCTGTCACAGGCGGCGTCCATTTCGCTGCGCTGTAGCGACGATGGCACTCACCGGTGCAGAAAATGTCTCACAGCTTCGCCCCATCCCACAATTTCCCTAGGGTGCGAGAGACAATCAACAGCCGAGTCGACGCCACTGCAGCCGCAGTGGGCGCGGAAGAGTCACCGCCGCGGAGTCAGCGCCGCGGAGTCAGCGCCGAGGAGTCAACGCCGCGCGCACTGCGACCGACGCCCGTCGATTCAGACGCACGGCTCGCGCCCGTCCGCCGGCGCGGGCCGACGGCGGCAGCGACGGGACCGCCGAGCCCGGAGCCGGCGCCGTTTTTGAGCCGTTCAGCGGCGCACATTAGCCGCCGCTTTCGTCCCATCAGGCGAGCTGTCATCGGCGGACGCTGTGCTGGCGAGCTTCGCAGCGCCGGCCGCCGCTCGGCTGCCGTTTCTGAGCGCTGGCGGAGGCGAGGAGCGCGTCTGCTGAGCCGGCGCGCGCGACCGAGCGACGCCCGGCGCCCGACCGAGCGACGCCCGGCGCCCGGCCGAGCGACGCCTCGCTGCCGACTCGACAGACGCGAGACGCCCGGCGCGATGAGGACGAGTCGCGCTTCGACGCGGGACGGGCCCGTCGCCCTGCCAGGTCGTGACGCGCCGTACATCACGCCGCATGTCGCGATGACGCATGTGACCCGGGCGGCCGCGCAGGTAGACGACGTGTCCGAGCGGCGGCGCCGGACCGGTCGACGACACGACTCGCGCGACGCCGTCAGCTCGCGTGCGGCGACACCGATCCCGTGTCGACATCGGCTGACCTGGCGGGGACACGGATTGCCGCCGGTGGCACCGCCATGAAACCGTGCCGCCTGTGTCGGCTTATCTCTGGACAAGCCGGCGACTCGCGCTCATGGGCCGAATCGCAAGGCGGCATCGGGCCGGATGACAGCGACATGGATCATCGGTTGAGTGCTGACACTGGTCGATCCGTCTGATCCGTGCCGACTGACCGCCGTCAGAGGTCCCCGCCGACCGACCGCCGTCTGAGAAGTGACCTGCCGACACGCCTCTCGACCAGGTGGCCTGTCGGGACGGCGCCGGGTCCATTGCGGGTGCGAGCTTGGCCCCCACTCGGCCACACCAGCCGGCGCGAGGCCCAGCCAGCCACTTCGCCCCCCAGGCTGGCGATGCGGCTGGCTGGCTCAGCTCGAATATCGGCTGGAAGGCTGGCTGCAGCTCGAGACCGGCTGGAAGGCTGGCTGCAGCTCGGAGACCGGCCGGAAGGCTGGTTGCAGCTCGGAGATCGGCCAAAGGCTGGCTGCAGTTCGGCGAGTTTTGAGCAGCGTGCGTCGGTGAGGCAGTGCTCCTGACTCAGACGCCGGTGCCGGAGGTGACGATCGGTACGCATCAGCACGCGCTGCGAGCCAACGATCTCACGTTCGACAATGTGCTAGTTCGGTTCCCTGTTTAGCGTCGTCACATACAACATGAGATTCGCCAGTGCAGTGTAGGACGGTGTCGTCGTCACATGCAACTCCGGCCTGCCTGGGATCACGTCTGCTGCCTGTCAGCGCCCAGTGTTACGAAGAGCATTCCCTGGCGTGTCGTGGTGGGTTAGGGTGCAGCTCACCCTGATGTGACCGACTGAGTGCGACGCAGACAGACACTCACCGATGCGCTGCCCGTCGCCGGCCCGGCCGCCGCCCTCCAGCGCCGTCTCCCGAAGCAGCGGGCCCGTCTCGTCGCTGAAGTTGCCCACCGCCGGCTCTGCCGACACAGACGAGATGATGTCGGTCCGTGCACGAAGAGTGCAACCGAACGGAAGTTGAAGCCATGAGAAGGTGACGTAAACACGCTCATGACCTCATTTGTGCATAACGAGGAAGCAAGGAGAAGAAACATGATACATCAGAAGTACCAGAAGTAAAAGGCACTGAACAAATAAACGCTCTTGTCGTAATGCATGTCTGTTAGGCAATAAAACGGCCAATTTCGCGGCCATTTGTTACACAACGTCCTGGAGACACCGCTAGTCCACACCTGGTGCGTGACCCACATGTTGGCACCTCCCCTCCTTTTGAGGACAGTCGTCACTGATCTGATACCCGCGTGAAGCGAGCCCGCCGCCCGTTTCATCGCTCCTCGGGCTATGAGAGCGAGCCAGACGGCGCACCGTCGACAGGCTCCATCTGGCCGCCGGGACGCCGATGATCCCCATTGGGGCGGCGGGCGCCCCGCTCCGAGTGCCGGTGAACGGCAGGGGTGACCTTGACCTCGGCTGATGGTCAGTCGCAGGCAGGGCGACGGGGTGTCTCACGGGGGCGTCGACGCCCACGCCAAGCAACAGAACGCTCTCAGAACGTCCCGCGGGCCGCCGGCGGCGGCTTAGCGCACGTGCCGGTCGAGGGTCACGGACCGTCTGGCGACGAAGCCCCGCGTCAGCCATCCCCGGCGTCCGGCGCCCGGTTACCGAAGCCGACACCCCGCGGCGCGCGTTGTGTAAGAGCGCGGCTGCAAAACTGCCGGTCAGCTCGATGGGTGACTGCTGCGTCGGGTGACAGGGCCGTGCTCACCTTGCTCGGGTGACAAGCTCGGGTGACGCGCAAGGGTGACAGAGCCTGCGGCTGTGCACCGGCTGGCGAGGCTCCGATGCCTGCGGCCAGCTGTGAGGAGATTGTCTGCCGGGGAACTGACCGACTGAACCGCAAGGACCGCGGCGCGATGCGTCGCTGTGCGTCGCCCGGGCGGTCCCGGTGGTCCAGCCGGTGTGAGCGCCCCCCCCCCCCTTCCATCTCCTCCCTCCTCCGCTCGCTCCCCATCACGTCAGGAGGTGGCAGGTATCGACCGGACCGGCGAGACGGCCGGAGACCGACAGCAGGACGCGCCACACTGCAAGCTGTTGCCTCGTCGCTGCACGTTCCACCCCCGCCCCCAAGCCCGAGGCGCTTGTTAGGCCGCGGAATGAGCGCCGCGCGGCGGAGAATAGGAATGAGCCGGCCCGCCGGACCTGAGCTCTCCCTTGGCATTCAGGGGGAGCCCGGCGACGGCGGAGGGGCGCTTTCTTCGGGAGGTCCAGCGCACTTTTACGGCGGTGTAAAGTTCGCTCGTAATGGAGCCCGATGAATGACGACAGAATGACTCGCTGCTTTATGAAGGGCCGCCGAAGCCAGCGTCCGTAATTATGGTCGAAATGGTCACACCGACACATAAAAAGCGATCGGGAAAAAGTAGACGAAATGGCTCGGGCATTCGCCTCATTTATTGTGGGCGACGGGCTATATTTTCCAAGTCGAAAGACTGGAGGGGTCGGGTCTTTGATAGAGGGTCTGTGAGAAGGCTCAGTCGTTATTCTCCAAAGTGACGGCGAATGACTAAGTAAGCTTGTCAAGATTGTACGCTTCCATTAATTGCGACTCGATGCTAGATTTGTAAATGTTGGTCCGTGCCAGGTAGTTTTTCAGCTGACAGTGAAATAGATAGAACGCGTACCGGATGTTTTTTTCCTCTTCGGCATTGTTTACACGGGCGAAGATATAGCTGGAGACACCTTGGCTGCTTCGGAGTTGACTTTTATGTCCGTGTGAACAGATATCGACGACAACAATGAGCACAGCTGCGTCATCAAACACTTGAAGAGCCAACAAATGCTAACATGGTTCTAAACCATGTTTGGTGACTCCTAACACATCGGAATGTCACAGTGGGGATTATTGGGACCGTAGATCCTTTCGCATGATCCGCATTCCACAGTGAGTGGTGCAAACTTGTGCAGCGAACAAGTAGAAATTTGCTGTCGTTGACTGCAGCCGGGTGGCATCCATCGTTTAGGCGGAACAACTATTAAAGCTTCATTGCTGCGTATCCCTCTGAACGCGATTTTTACGAGAGATGCAAACGATAACTGGACGTTACTAATAACGTGACGCATAAGTGAACATATTTGCTGTGTCCTTAGACATTCCTAAGCTTGAGAACAGAAGCATAAGCATATGTTTCAGGACCCATAAGCAGATGTAGACCTGGGTAGATCAGCCCACCTTCCTTGACCCGGCCAAGTCACAGCTCATTTCATCCACAAGGACTCGCATTTGGTCTCTGTCTATATGCACAGTCTTACGATTTACGATGTAATCCACATAATATTACAATGGAAGCAGCATACAGAGTTCTGTGAGGTATAGTAAAGTAAAATCAAATCAAATCCACTACTCTAATTGATCAAATGAAAGCTCGGCGGTATCTTCTAGTTCTCAACTGGAGCCTATAACCTCGACTTGGAGAGGCGAGCTGGTCCTGTCGCGGTCCCTCAGTGCGGCCCACCGCGCCAGCTGACCCGGTCACAGGTCACAGGCCAGACGCAGCCTCCATCCGCCCTCACCTCCCTCCGACCCGGTCCCCGTCCGCGGCCCCGCTTCGGCGAGATTCGTCCCGAGCGAGCCCGCCGCGCCCGGCCGGCGGCGTCAGCGGCCTTGCGCGCGCCGCCGGCGGGGCTGCGCCCGGCTGGCGCCCCGCCCCGCCCGCGTGGTGGCCGGCGTCTCCGCCGGGTGTGTCTCCCTTCAGCAGCCAGACGGATGGGTCCAATTAGAGCCGGGTGTGGCCGCAGCCGCGACAGGGGCGCCGACGGCCGCCGCTCGACACGCACGCGCCCGGCGCGCTGACCCGGCCGGGCAGAGGGGCCGACCCGGCCGGGCAGAGGGGCTGACCCGGCCGGGCAGAGCGGCCAACCCGGCCGGGAAGAGGGGCCGACCCAGCTGGGTAGAGGGGCTGACCCGGCCGGGAAGAGGGGCCGACCCAGCTGGGTAGAGGGGCTGACCCGGCCGGGCAGAGGGGCCGACCCGGCTGGGCAGAGGGGCTGACCTGGCCGGGCAGAAGGGCCGACCCGGCCGGGCAGCGGGGCCGACCCGGCCGGGCAGAGGGCTGACCTGGCCGGGCAGAGGGCCGACCCGGCCGGGCAGAGGAGCCGACCCGGCCGGGTGGAGGGATTGACCTGGCCTGACACTGGAAGTGTTTCAGTTGGGCAAAATGGCGTCCTAACTGACGACGAGACGTCCCAGCTGGGTTAGGACTACGCCGGTCTAAGACCGCGACGATTTGGGACCCGATGGGGCAGGGACGAATACCGCCGCATTAATGGCTCGGCAATGCCCTCACCGACATTCTTCTTTAAGCGTAACATAAAACTTGTAAGTTGCATGACTCGCAGTTCCGTTGCTTTAACACACTGAACTACCCATCATATGCATAACACCCCAGTGGAAATCACATCTACGACGGCACGCACGGGAAAACCTCGGTGCTGGTCAGATCCGCATGAATACGATAGTGAACGCTGGTGTAACTCATTAACACCACTCGATTATACCAATCAGCAATATTAATGAGGTGTTCCCCGCACAGCCGCATCAATTCAGTCTCCCGAAACATCCCGGGATCGATGCACCTTGTTACTTTGTCTCGGTCCGGGCGAGCTACGAAGATGTCGAGTGGTAAACAGGGTCGCACCGGTGGGAACGGGACACCTGTGATGAAGGGCGCTATCAGGGGTGTACGCACAACGAGCCGGCGTGGGCCGAGGATGGATGTGCTGATAGGACGGACACGCGGCGAGCGCGCGTTCCCGCTAGTCCACGGATGACCAACAGCCAGGGGGGGGGGGGGGGAGGAGGAAGGGGAGGGGAGACGACGATGCACGGTGGATCCGGCGGTCACCGGCCGTGGACAGGGCCGTTCACAGGCCTCCGTCCGCTCTCCTGATCGGCTCCTGAATCGGCTTTCGATAGAACCAGAAGCCAACAAAAGAAATACCAAAGTCCATTGCAGCGGCGAGCTCCTCCGACCCTCCGGCAAAAACGTTATTCTATTCACACGCACGGCGGACAAAGGCGGAGCGTGGCTGCACCTGTTCCGATTTCGCGATATAAAGTGACCAGCTCATCGGCTGCCAGGGCTGGTCGGCCATCAGGAGAGAGTGCGGAGAGTCCCCAGGCGCTGTGTGAAGGACAGGGTGATGAGGCGCCGCCGCCGACCGGCCGGCTTTGTTCTCTTCTGATACCGTCCGAGATACTGGGCAACGCCGCAACGAGTCTTTCGTCGGCATTTGGTTCCGGATGCGGAGGTACAGGGTGTGTTCGGCTATCTTGACTCCGCGCCGGACGATCTGCGGTACAGGGTGTGTTCGGCTATCTTGATTCCGCGCCAGACGACCTGTCGCAGCCTTGGTAAGGCTTTCAGAGGATTACGGCTGGATATTATCTACAGCGACTGACAGCCTTTCTCATGACCAATTTTCCTACTGAGTGGCCGAACCGTCCCATGACGACATAACGTCAAGCGAAGAGAGCAAAAACGATTATAATTGCGCTTCTTTTATCGTCGGCATGCCGCGGAGAAATGAACTTATGATTGAGAGATACACACATTGTTCGCATACTTTGTTCCATCACCGCAATGTGCGCACCTTCTGAGGTCATTACTCTAAATGCAGCAATAATCGAAGCCCAGCTAGTGTTAAGCCCCATTTCAACAAGCTGCCGTCCTTGCGGTCACCAGACAAGTGCTTGATCACCCAGCTATGGTGCTTCCTGCTCACGGCCTGGCTCACCGCTCCAGTTCGTGGCTCAGCCCACGGCTCTAGCCCACGACTCCGACCCACGTCTCCAGCTCACGGTTCCGGCCTGCGACTCCGACCCACATCTCCAGCCCACAGCTTCGACCCACGTCTCCAGCCCATGGCTGCGGCGCACGGCTCCGACCCACGTCTCCAGCCCACGTCTCCCGTCCACGTCTCTGGTCCACAGCTCTGACCCACGGCTCCGGCCCACGTCTCCAGCCCATGTCTCCCGTCCACAGCTCCGGTCCACGTCTCCGGCCCACGGCTCCGGTCCACAGCTCTCATCCATGGCTCCGGTCCACAGCTCTCATCCACGGCCCCGGACCACAGCCCTGGCCCACGGCTCCGACCCACGTCTCCAGCCCACGTCTCCCGTCCACGTCTCTGGTCCACTGCTCCGACCCACGTCTCCAGCCCACGTCTCCCGTCCACGTCTCTGGTCCACAGCTCCGGTCCACGTCTCCGGCCCACGGCTCCGGTCCACAACTCTCACCCACGGCTCCGGCCCATAGCCCTGGCCCACGTCTCCGGTCCACGTTTCCGGCCCGCGGCTCCACGTCTGTTCACGCCCAGCAGCATTGCGAGGAGAACAAATCGCAATCAGTCGCCGCTCCCCTCCTGGAAATCCACTCGGGAACGAGCCCGGCAACACGTTTCGAATACTGAATCATAGCCGAGACGTTTTTGCCAGACGCTCATTGTACGCAAGCGTGGGGAAGAGGAGGGAGGAGGGGTGAGAGGGGAAAGAGGACGGTTCTGTCTCCGCCGTGTGCACAGAACAGACGGGCAAACACGCCCGATCGCAGTGCACGTGCAGTGTGCACAGGCCGTGTAGCCGACTTCGCCGAGCGGAGATCGAAATCAAACAAGGCGTGAGACGGATGTGGCGGCCGGCACGGATCGTGGACGGTTACCCGTCCGCGATCTGTGCCCTATTCAGACGGGGAGGTGGGCTAGCGATCGGCGTCTGGCGTCACGGGCGAGTTTCCAGACGTACCCAGTGCACGGGTTTCTTGATGACACCTGCTGCTAACTGTCACAATATTCAGATATATTCCACAGCAAAAAGATAACAACATCAATCAAACTCTTTTGTGCTGGTTGAGGCCGACCTCGAGACACGCGATCATCCCTGAAATGGGCGACCTTCCCGAAATCGTCGGCGAGGGGTCGCAACAGGCACACTACATTGTGTCCCACACGATCACATTAAGTCAATGGCCTTCATAAACACCCATAACCTCCGTGTCACAGCTGACAAAATTAGCAGGGCCATATTCACTCCAAACGACCGAAAAGTTGCTGCCACACCGGCCGACGGCTGCGCGTGCTGCCGGCGTCCCCAGAGCGGCGCCAGCCCACGGCTCCCAGCTGTAGCGGGACGGGTGGCGGCCCGGCAGCTGGCGGTCACGCCGTTGCACACCTCAGCAGGCGCCGCCGGCCGCCTGACTGGCATCGCACCCGCCGCCGGCCGTCGACGGCGCACTGCGGCAGCCTCGGTTTGCGTAAGATGCTCGCGGCCACGCGGGTCCGCCGCTGTTCCGCGCGGGCCAGACCGGACCGGACCGGACCGGACCAGACCGTCCAGCGCCGGGTGGCAGCAGACCGCGGCCCGGTTGGGTATGGTGCTCTGCATGAAGCCCCGGCACTGGGCTGATGTCGTTAACACAATATACAAAAGGGCGGAATTTTGTACGGTCGTGACCAGAGCGGGCCTGGATCATCATCGAATGATTGACGACCGCCATTTGACTGACGTGGCCGCTGAAATGAGCCGCGGTCGACGCTCCCGATAATGTTTAAAAATTAGCCTGCGGTCGGACATGTCAGTGCAGTGGCGTTTGACCTTGTTTGCCGACAGCCGGCTCGGAGGATAGACAGGCTGTGTCGGCGGCCACACGGCGCGTCCACTGAATTATAACACGGGTCTCACCAGACGCCGCCCGCGCCAGTGGAGGCGAGTTTTGCGGCGCCGTATATGGCCGACTATTTTGGGGAAGCGCGCTCTTTATTCGAGACCTCGCGCGGCGCGTCTCCCGAGCGATGCGCCTCTCTCTGTCAGGCTGGTTCATTGAGGGGTGCTGCTGCCCACGCGGAGCGTGCCTGGCTATATAAAGACGGTCGCCCCTCGCGCGACCGCGGCGCGACCCCACGTGTCGAGCGGCCTGGAGGGATAGGAGTGGTTCGATCGCACCGTCTCCCGTCACAGGGACAAAGCCCTGACGAGACACGTGAAGTGGCCGTGTACATTTGGTTGTGTTGCTGAAAGACTGACGGCACAAAATCGTGGTTACAAACCATTACTAGGTGACAAAACTGTGCCCGTGCCCTTCATATGATTTGCCCTGTTTTGATATCGCAAATCTCTTTCAGAACAAGCATACGCACGGAAGGTGCCAAGGAAGCATTACCATCAAGAGTACATGAGTTTCTTCCTGACGGTTGAGCATAGCAAAAGTGTTGTGAATCAAGAAGAATACCATTAGAGGCAGCTGTTTGGATAACAGCAGACTCAAGACAGTAACCAGACGACCAAAGGCGAGTACGAAACCGACCACCCTGGACTGTGATCACCCAAGCAATCCCATTTCGCCGATACGGAAGCCGGCTATCGATACAGCTGCACGCCAAACTGCGCACACGCATAACCCGCAACACACCCCCGGCGCGCTCGCCGGCCGGCGGGCATCGCGGGCGGTGGGCCGTGGCGGGGGCGGGGGCGGGGGCGGGCAGCCGGCCTCGGCTGGGGCTGCCCGCCGGCAGATCTCCGTCACGCTCCGTGCGCCAACATGACGGCTCCGGTCGCACGTGCGTGGCCGGCGTGCGCGCCGCCCAACGGGTTCTGCAGCGGCAGAAATGCGGTCCACGCTCCGAGGCGGCCGCCGGGCCGGCTGAGGTCAGGGGTCAGCCTCGAGACCCCAGGCTGACCTCTGCAAGCGGGGGGGGGGGGGGGGGGAAGGAGGAGAATGCTTAGGAGTGTGACACGCACCGGAGCTTTAGCGATCTCGCTGACCTAGCCGCACGGGGTGCGACCTATTTTGAGCTCGCAAAACCGGCCTTAGCCTTACGCTGCCGCATTGGGCTTTGACGAGATCCAGTGACACGAGATGGCCCACTAGGATCGGTGACTGACACCGACCCGAGGGGATGTTCAGTTACCCAGCGCCGTTCCAAGGTAGAAGCATGCACCTCGGTGACCTTGGTGGTTCACGCGGCCCTGCAATATTCTGCCGGTTTTTTTTTCGCCCACCCGGTGGTGACCTCCAGAAGCTCTTATCATTCCTGATGACTTCAACTCCTTCTGTGAGCTTCCATGCTCCCCGACGACCCAATCCCCTTCCACGACAGAGTCAACCCCACAGCGTTCTTTCCAGTCAATCAATCAATGACTAAAAGGACGCTGCCAGAGGCCTCTCCCGATCCTGACCTCTCCTGACCGTGACGACTCACCTGACTCGAACGTGACCTCGCTGACCAGGATCCAGGCGGCGGCGAACTGCAGCTCGAGCCGCAGGTAGCGGGCCAGCACGCGTGGCATCTTGACCGACACGTTCCTGGCGCCGTTGAAGCCGCCGCCGCCCAGCGTGTAGTGGGTCACGGGATCCGTGTTGAAGTGGCGTCCGCCCACCGAGCCGGTGACCCGCGCCAACGAAAACACCTGCCACACGACGGCGCCCGGTCAGCGCCGGGGAGCCGGCGCGCACGGGCACGCGGTCCATTGTCTGGCGGGGGGGGGAGGGGGGGGGGGGGGCGCCCAGCAGAGGCGCAGAGCACGCTCCGCCGGCAGCCGGGCAAAAAACGGCACGCGGCCCACCAGTCAGCGACGCACACCAGGCGGGGGCCCAGGGTTACTGAATTGTCGCTGACAGTTTTGAAATTGCTTTTGAATATGGATTGGTCATAATTGAGCGTGAGGAAATTCATGCTCGCATGCCTGCATCAATGAAAGCGTGGCTAAATTAGGACGTTTAACATGTGCAATGACAAATGTCGCATGCACAAACGTGCGCTTACCTCAATTTCTCTCTGACGGTCATTATTCGTATGGATGATGACTTCGGAAAAATTCCTGACAGTGTCGAATTTGAATGTCATCTCCAGAGTTCCGTCGGCCGTCGAGTTTCTCCAGCCCACCCACTCAAACCCTGCAAAGAGAAACAGACCATGTAACGACAAAACCAGAAGCCGGCCAGACAAAGCCCTGTGCTCTGCCGTCGCACCAGATCAAATCAGCAGATCAAAGCTTTCTCACGCGGCGGCACTGTCATACATTATACCGCCGCGCCTCCCCAAACACCGCCGCCGCCGCATTTCCATCCGGCAGCCATCGGCGTCGGCCGGCCGGCGGCCCGTCCGGCACCGGCGCGGAGCGCGGCCGGACGGCGTGTTTTCCAGACGTCTCTGGGGCGTCGGCTCGTCGGGCCCAGCGGGCGGCCCCATCAGCTGTCGACCGCGACAGGCGCCCCGCGGCGGCCGGGCCGACGGCCAGGTCACGGCGCCGTGCCCCGCGGGCGCCGCCGGCCCGACGGCGGACGCCTGAGGCGCGGCGGGGTCGCGGCGGTTCGGGGGGCAGCGGCAGGCGCGCGTCCACGGCTGGGTGTAAGGAGTAAGAAGGCCGCAGATCGCCGCCGATCCGAACCGACGCATCCCGGAGCACACGGATGGACAGGTCGCGGGTCCATGGACGAGCGCGGACATATGGTGGCGATAAGTACGTGGTGGCCTATGTCAGGGGCAAACGGACATGCGAGGGGTGCACTGAGCCATGGATTTATGGAAGCGTGACACCAGGCGCGGGCGCAGGTCGGCAGACACCGGGTCTGCCGGATGGTCAGGTGGCCGATGACAGACCGATCGTCTGTCAGGTCACACATCCTCAACATGGTCATCATGCGGCCGACAGCTCGCCCGTCTCTCGGGCGTGTCTTCTCAGCGGAGAGGGGAAGCTGTCGGGCGCCTGTCGGCAGGCGGCGTCATTAGGCCGCTGACAAGCCACAGCTGCCGGCGAGCTGTCGGCCACTGCGACGAGAACATGCCACGCATTCATCTTCCGAATCTCGGCCAGCGGTCACCGCGCGCTGCCGAGCGGCGTCCTCGACCTGGGTCTCGGCACACACTGTCCGCCGCTCAATCACGACAGAAGCCCGGCTGGCAGTAACAGCCGGTGGTCCAGACGCGAAAAGTCACGAACCACCGAGCCACACATCCTCAAAAATGTACAACGCCGTCAGCTGACTGACATCGACCGTGGCTCGGACCACCCACAGAGCCGCGCGCTGCGTGACCGAGAAAGAAGCGGGCAGACCACGGCTGTCGCGCTGCTCCAGATGACGGTTGTCGCTGCTCCAGGTGACAGTTGTCGCGCTGCTCCTGCTGCTGTCAAGATGACGGCTGTCACCGCTCCAGATGACGGCTGTCACCGCTCCAGATGACGGCTGTCACCGTTCTGGATGACGGCTCCCGCTGCTCCAGATGACGGCTGCCGCTGCTCCAGATGACAGCTGTTGCGCTGCTCCGAATGACGCCTGTCGCTGCTCCAGATGACGGCTGTTGCCGCTTCAGATGACGCCTGTCGCTGCTCCAGATGACGCCTGTCGCTGCTCCAGATGACGGCTGTTGCCGCTTCAGATGACGGCTGCCGCTGTTCCAGATGACGGCTGTCGCCACCCAGGAGTCGCGCACGCCGCCGGCGGACCCTGCAGCTAATTGCAGACGCCGCGTCGGCGGCTGACGCCGGCTGTCGTGCAGCAGCTGGCGGCGCCGGGCGGAATCCTATTACCCTCTAATCAGAGCATCGACCCATTTTCGCATAACTGATCAAAGCAATTAATTCGAAAAGTGCACAATCGCGCCATCGCGGTGTAAACTGTATGACAGCGCTGCTCCGGCAAAAACGGCGCGGCCTGTCAAAGGCGGCTTATCTGACGCGGCGCCGACAAGCGGCCATTGTCCTCCCGAGTGGCCTCGGGCTGTCGCGGCCGCGCCTCCTGCGCGCCCGCCGGCGCGATCGGCCTCGGGCCGTCCGAAGAAGGAAACGCTCGAGAGAGACGCTTTATGGTCGTCAGCGGAGCTTCGCGCCCAGAGGAAGTCCGCGAGCGACGGAGGCGCGGAAGGTGACGACGGCGACGCGGCGGCGGGACGCAGCGCGTGCAGAGTTGGGCTCGCCGCCGAGAAGAGCGGCAGCTGCGGACTGAAGAACGGTGGAGACGGCGGAAACGGGCAGGCCAGGCTGTCTCGTTGGTCGGTTGGATGAATCTGGGCTTTCGCCTCGACGGAAGGAGCTAGTTTCCAATTGCACGTTTGATCCGTGCGTGCGCTCTGATTACCATAACGGCGTACGTTGGGTCAGAGGAGTACAAGCGGTGCTGATATCCACGATTGTTTATCTGAAGGCCTGCAGCCCTCGGATGAGAACGACCAGCGAGCAGAGTATACGGAGATTAGCAGACACTGCACGTGTGAGAATGCGATGACTTAGTGACGCCTGTGCGTAGACCGCGGCATTGTAGGAGAAGCCAGGACAAGGTCAGGCCGAAGCATTTGACCCCCCACCGTCAGCGATAAACATCTGGGATCCACACAGTGCCACAATAACGGCAAATGCTTACAATCGTGGGAATATATTTCATTTCCATCATTTTCTGGCGTGATATGCTGTGAGGGTCGGTAGAGTAGCTTATCTGGCCTTGCCTGTTCCACTTTTACACCACGCAGAGGCCGTATTACCTACGAAATCGTGAGATAAGCTGGTCTTGTTTCGAATGTTTTTCAACGATCATGAATAAACGCACAGTACGGCGCAGAGCCACAGTGATGCCGCAGGTCGACCCTCCTGTCTTCAGGTTTTGAGAAGTCCCTCCGCCTCCTCCCGGGTGCCCGCTGGGACCCTCCTGTCCACGGACTCTGACGCCGTCCCTCCGCCTCCCGGTCGGGGTCTGAGGCCGTCCCTCCGCCCCCCCGGTCGGGGTCTGAGGCCGTCCCTCCGCCTCCCGGGCAGGTTCTCAGGCCATCCCTTCCGCCTCCCGGGCGGGGTCTGAGGCCGTCCCTCCGCCTCCCGGGCGGGGTTCTGACGCCGTCCCTCTGCCTCCAGGGGCGGGTTCTCAGGCCGTCCCTCCGCCCCCGGGCGCGTTCTCAGGCCGTCTCCCGCCTCCCGGCGCCGCTGGGATGACGCCCCGGCGGGGCTCCGTCGGGTCAGGCGCCCGGCTGAAGAGTGCTCCACTGGAGCAGCCATTGACACGATTCCCCGATTGTCCTCTGCCATTCCCACGGGCGCGGCCGCCGCTGGCCGGAAGCAGGTCAGAGGCGGGACGGGGCGGGGCGGGGCGCGCTGCAGCTGGTCATTCAGACTCGTGTCGGGGTCACGGGGGTCGGCCGTCACAGCCCGCGTAAGTCCCAACACCACGGGACTGCTTACCCCAGGTTGCAGGTCTTCGGCAGGGGCGGCTGCTTCGGTTACATGAGCTGATCTACTGAGGGGCACCCTACCCTAAACTACCTCACCCTCCTCTCACTTCCCAACGTAGGCTGTATAATAAGCTCGAGCCAGGACACAAATCCCGACGACCAGTGGAATGACTGTGGGTGCGCCAGGGCTGTTGTCTGCGGTATCCTGACCCGAGCAGTTCAAACCATCACTGACCGCGACGAACTGAAGCGGGGGAGGCAGCGCTGCGATCTGTCCAGTCCGACTCACTCCCGCTCCATGTTCAGTCCCGCCCGTAACTCTGCAATCCACTTACGGCCGCTCAAAGCGTCATCGGCCTGGGCATTGACGACTGGAGCACGTAACTGGGCGTGAGACCTATTCCTGAGCACCAGTGGCCGTCGATTGCCTTGTTCGGAAGTTATTCGTGCCTAACGACGCCCTTGGCAGCCAGCCGCGCGGCCCCGGCCCGTAGCTGAACGCTGGGCGAAGGTTTCTGATTCTGTCCGCCACAACCTTCGGACCAACACCATATTCCGCTCCGCCGCCGCCTCCGGCCGCGCCACCGCGCCTCCTGTCGGCGTGAGAGCGTCGCTTCGTCAGCTGACCACGCCCGTCTCGGCGGACGAGCGACCACCGCGCCAATATAGCCTGGGGCGGATCATCGGACCGGCATCCAATCACAGCGTCCACCCCATTCTGCGCGACACCGAGGCTGGCTAATATCTGGGGACGTGCGCGGCCGCCGCCGCCGCGCGAGGACGGGTGTCGTGAGGTGCCAGACGCCGCCGCCGCCGTCCAAGCCCCGTCGAGTCACGGGATCCGTGTGTCTGCCGCCGGCCGGCCGGCTGACGAGGAGTTACGCCGGATTGGTGGCACGCGCTGGCGAAACGTGCAGGTCGGCGAGTTGAGGCGATCGACCGCTCGCCCGAGGGGCGCCAAGGCAGGTTTAGGACCAGTGGCGCGCTCAGGACACCAGGACACACAGAACCAGAGGCGCTCAGGACACACAGGACCAGAGGAGCTTGGGACACACGGAACCAGAGGCGCGCTCAGGACACACAGGACCAGAGCGCGCTCGGGACACACAGAACCAGAGGCGCGCTCAGGACACACGGACCAGAGGCGCGCTCGGGACACACAGGACCAGAGGCGCGCTCGGGACACACAGAACCAGAGGCGCGCTTAGGACACACGGAACCAGAGGCGCAATCAGGACACACAGGACCAGAGGT